GCACTATGTCAGCGAATTCCGCCGCAGTGCCCCATTCTGTAGGGTAGTTGCTCGCGTCGATTTCGTCGTTGATGGATGCGCTCATCGAGCCACAATATGAGAGGTGACGACATACTCTGTGTTTGTCTGGAGCACCGTTGATGCCCTTTTTAACGACGACTTGGAGAGGAGACGAGCGAAAATGACCAATCTTGGCGAAGAGTTGCTCATGAGTGTATGGGCCTGAGAAACGTTTCTTTGAGAGCTCGTCTGCGATGTATTCATCGCAGACTTCACGATATATGTCAGCACCGGGCAGATTGTGCGGAGTATAAGTAGAAGTGAGAGGACTCATGTCGCCAATGGGAAAACCATGACGAAGTTTCCATGTGAGCTTGGGAAATTGATGGGTGAGATTGGTGAGTTCGAGCAGATGATCAAAACCTTCAGGAGAGTAAGGCGTGTTGACAAGAGAGTAATCAGCGTCAAGATCGTATGGAGAAGGATGTTTTTGTAAGTTGTCGAAGTATATGAATCTGGGGGCAGGCGAATCGGGAGGCTCAAGATCTGGGACGTGCACCAACAAGAAGTCCTCATCAGAGAGATTAGAGGCAGGAGCGGGACAAAGTGCCGTGTTCAGGTCGCCCACAGAATGAGCATAAGTGTTGATTGGAGTGGTCCCGCTTGCAAGGACGTCGGGGATTGTTGAGATTGAATCCGATGCACAATTGAGAGTTGTTGGAACGTTTGCAGAGATTTCCGTCTGTGTATTTCGCAAAATTTTGTGCTCCTTTCGGCGAAGTCTCTTCAGTGCATGCCGAGAAACGATGACCGGTGCGTCCGCAGATGATGCACATGGGGTCTGTTGACTTGGCAGACTTGGAGTCACAAAAGGAAGAAGATTCTCCTTCGTTCTTCTTAAAAGGACGCTTGGAGGATGAGTCCTTGTCATAAGGCTCAAAGCGAGAAGAAGAGCCAGCGTTAATGGGACGATCGACAAAGGATGAGCGAAGCTGCTGTGAATGACGAAAGAGTTCGTCTTGCAAGGTAGCATATTTCTTTTTCTGTAAACGATGGCTCCACTCAGCCTCGTCATGTTGGTGCGGACGTAAAGCATAGTTTTGTCTAGTCTCAATGTCGAATTCCAGTATGGCGCGAAAATTCTTACGAATGGCTTCGTCTTTGGCGAGTGTGGTGAAGTGTGTGGTCCATCGCTTGACGGACGGTGCGTCACCAACATCAGCGATCCACGATAGGTATCGCTGAAAGGCCTCCTGCCAAGTAAGAGGATCAAGGTCGCATTCACTTTCAAACTGCGAGAGATCTAAGAGGTGGTGAGAGACTCCGTTGACGTGGACCTTGGTGCGTTTGAGAGAGTGACCTTCACGATGAAGACGTTCCGTATTCTTGTTGGAGAAAAGAGTCAACGGACAATATTCACCGGCATTTGCGAGATCCTGGATGAAATGATGAATCCCAAAATTATAAGTAGAGTCGAGTCCGCTAGAAGTAGCAATCTCCTTGGAGCTGTCGAAGAGAGCTTTGGAAATGGGAGTGGTATTCGGTCTAGTGGCGACGTTTCTGGAGCTTCCAGCTATCCCCTCAAGAACTGCAGCTCCTTGAGCTTGAGAAGTTGGGGAGAGATTGACGAAAGCAGAGATCCACTGCTGCAAACGATTTCCAGCAGAGGGAGAAGACGGAAGAGGGATTAGAGGTTCGTCTTGTGCGACGTTTGGATTGCCAGCGTCTCTGAGCAATTGCAAAGCAGCGTTGCTTGCTACTCGGCGCGCGTTCTCGGCCACGATTTGATCGTGAGTCATTTGCGTAACCGAAGGAACGGAAGTGGCCGAAGAATTAGCATTGCCAGTGCCTGAAGGGGTTGAGGAAGGTGTGGCCGCAGAGCTGCCTGACGCGACTGAAGGAATGACGGCAGAGGTCATGATTGACGCGTCAGAATAATGAGCTAAAATGTAAGGCGTCGCACAAATGGGAAGGACAAAGAAGAAGAGAAAGAACTCAAGCGCGAATCTTCGAAGTTGAGGATTTATTTGAGAGTGCGCGCACAGACCAAGTCCATTCTCGTATCGAAGCACGAGAATGCGAATCTCCACATGGACGCTTACAAAGGCCCTTTTCACATGCGTCAACGTTCGCAAGCTCACGATCCGCTTGGAACGTACATGTTGCTACTTTCTCGTCTCATACGTACCGGTTGCCGGGTCGGGGTTCATATTTATAAAATTGACATTGTGACATAGTGTGACATCTACGCCAACCCGCTCATGGGGAATTTTGCAACTCTCTACTACTTCTAACATCTTGCATCGGCATCCCTCTGGCAGCACCTTTTAAATACCTTTTGTTCTTCTGTCAACTAGAGCTTTCCTATGACACACGTAGCTATAATTCCATGTAATTATTTTGTCTCGATGTGTGGTAGTTATTGAGATATGAAAATGAGGTCTTCAGATTTTGCAACTCTGGCCCAACGATAGTAGTGCTAATAAGCCCCTCATGCCGACTAACGAGCTGAAGTTACCTGTTGAGCTGTGGCTCCTTGTTTTCTCTTTTGGCAAATTTTCCTCTAATGACCTAGCTGTACTCTGCAGAGTGTGCGCCGGCCTCTATCACGCAGTAGTTGACTCTCTGTGGCGGCGCCCCCGTATGAGTCCATCACGGTCGACAACTCGGACGTGTGTACCACGCTCGCAGAGTGTCCCCATCTCGCAGAGAAAGTCAAATCTTTCATATTTACATATCCGACAATCATGGTCTACGACGGTCCCGAGGTGCACCTAGATAATCTCATGTCGGCCCTCAAGAATATGACCTGCCTCTCAACACTCAAGCTTATACATTCCCAAAAGCATGAATACTCGTCCGTCCTTCAGTACTGTGATGCCGAGCTTCATGTTTTTCATTGTACCTATCGTGTCAACTGCCGACTCCTAAGCTTTTTGAACAGGCAGGATAGCGTCCGTGATCTTGCTCTCACTGGCATGCCCACACTCGATATCTATCCCGAACGCGATATGTTTCTTCCCTTTGCCACTTCTAACAGAAATCTCTGCCAACTCTTGTTTTTTAAAAGACCTTGTACCTGGACGCCCAGTTCACACTGTGCGTTTCAAAGGCCAACATGTACACAACAGTGGGATGCGGCTCAGCGAGTCATCAGTGAATTGATGAGTCCTCGATATTGTAGCCGTGGGAAGTATAGCACGATGTAATCCTGCTGCCGCCAAATATTAGCTTATATACTGCGAGCAATTTGAGTTGCACATATATACTCATGTATGCTTGTAAATCCAGCTTAACATGAATGATTTATAACAATCCTGGGACATTCCACCTTTGCAGCCAATGAGTAGTGGTAGTATACCTGAGCCAATTGTTTTGAGCTTCGACATCTTACCTGATCTTGTTTTTTAATTACAATGTTATTTAAGGCCTTTTGATGGAAAGAGCCTCGGGCATTTGTCGACAAATATAAAATACCATTAGATTTAGTCACAAAGCTATGACATTCCTCCTTTTCAGATAATGAGGGGTGGTAGTAGACTTATCCCAATTATTTCGTGCATTGTCGTTTGGCCCTATTTATTTATCCCATTACAATGCCATCAGGTAACTGACCCGAAAACGACAAATTCTTAGCTATCTTTGTCTGATTTAAAATCTGCACAATACCTATCAAAATTGTATCCCACTCGAGAAAGCTTTGAATACCCGGACTCAGTTGGATAGAACCCGCCAAATGCACAATCATGACAATATAGTTGCATTGGTCATGACAATATTATAATCTCTGATTGTTTGTACTTTCTTCACAATCAAATGCACTGATGCTCAGCGTTAGAAAAAGCTTGATATGGCCGGACTTCATCAGACCAACACTGCCTACAACCCAGGAGGGCCGAGCAACCATAATGCAGTACCAAGTTGTGTAATTATGAATGTCTTTTGTAATCAGAGGTTGTCATTGTGCCGTCGGCAAAACGCTAACTTTGCGCCGGTGGTTGTGATGCTAGCCGGTGATTGCCAAGTGCCCAATTCGGGCAGTACTTTACCATCCTGCTCAACCTCGGCGAGATGCGATACGAGTATGCAAAGTTAGTTTGTCCTTTTATACTCCACAATATCTGAACTGATGCTAGCATCAGAAAAAGCTTTATATGGCCGGACTCCTTTGGACTGACACTGCCTACAGTTCAAGGGTGTCATGTGTCCGCAACGCAATCTCAAGCTCTATCAATGTGATTATCGTTGGCAACTCGAGCTTGTCATTGCGCCATCGACAAAAACACCCTCCGCGCTGACTTTGAGTATGTGGTTGTGATGGTAGCCGGTGATGCTCCAATCTACTAGGTGCACAATTCGGGCGACGAGCGACAGTGCGTTAATATACTGCCCAACCTTGATGATATCTACTAACTGCACATAAAGTTGTTTGTTATTCTATGCTCCACATCTTCTCTCTAAGTGCTGAAGTCTCCCAAGGCTAGACTGGTTTGGATGAGAGCTGATTTTAGTCCCAAGGTGCGGACGCATGACGGTGTGGTATCCTTCGTCAGCTTATCGATGAGGTATGGTTTTCGTATGCAAGGTAAGCGAACCGTTATGGTTTTCCCAGACTCTTCCTGAACGACTCCACTAGACAGAATCTTCGAACGCTAGGCTACATTGTGCCATGAGCACCAAGGAGTTGATACTGTTCCTTCCATCCGCATGCAGTCACAGTATAGTCATTGCTTATAATGCTAGCTTGTTATTTTCATTCGACCAAGTGCGAGCATGATGTTGGCTCCAGGTCTTATCATGCAAGGCATTCGTTCTCGTAGCAATATGCTGCATAGAAGACAGATGACTGGCACGCCACGATGACCAACTATATTTTACAGCGGTGTAGCACCTTTGTTGTCCTACAATCACTTCAGCGGACTAGCCGGGTTACAAAAGTAAAGCAGACTGTCATTAAGTTACATTTATATTAAATACGATTCGACATGTCAAAATGAAAACTACAGAGACCCATTATCCGAATCTGCGGCTTGTCTGAGAGCAAGGCGTTTTTGTCGGATCTTGGATAAGGCGCTATTGGCACTGATAGGTCTCTTCGCAGCAGAGGATGTGGGAAACACTTGGCTGAGTAATATCAGCCTTTGGCAACATGGTGAAAGGTGATAAAACATACCAATTCCACCAGGTCAGCAGTTCATCGACTTCTTGACATTCCTCGGGGTCTTCTAAGAGGTCAAGGAGACTGTGGTAAAACGTCTCAGAGTCCGTAGTTGTATCGGTCCGCGAGAATACCGAGGACGAACTGAGAGCAAATCGCACCTTTAGTCGTACATGAAAACCATGCTGCGGTAGAAGTGTGATGTTCAACGGACCTGGGTTGCGATATAAGCCACAGAAGCAATGGTCACAGCATTCATGCCATGGAGGCGAGCATTTCCCGAACGCGTGGCCTTCGGCTCCCTCTCGACTGAACTTGGGGACGTGAAAACATGCTTGTAAGCCTGGTAGAATGCATTGTAGTAAATGTATAATGTGAAAATACAAATGCGCACTCACGCACACTAGCAAGCGGCTCCTAAGAAGACCACACCACGGGTCTTCGGGGTCATAAGTATGGAGGGCGTACAAAAAAATAGGCCATTGATCTCCACAAACTAGCATTTCGCCACTTCGTAGGTCCTCTTTCATCCTATTTACAAAAAGTGCAAAAAGCACTTCAGGACCGCGGACATGCCTAAAATTGAATCATACCGAGAGTCATTCCAGTCCAACCCAGCGGGGCAGAGGAGAGAACCGGTGAGTTCGTGATTAAAACCACGATCAATCTTGGAGTTTCTATGTAAAGGAGGTTGTATGGCTTCCCCTTTCGGGGAAATCCAGTCGAGCACTGCAGACTTCAAGGTTTTTGTGTCGTCGCCTCTGGCACCTGCGGCTCCCTTACCAATCTGTAGATGATAAGCATGAGCTTTGGCTACGCAGAAAAAGATGCACCAGCTCTCCAACGTGAAGGATTTCTTCCTCGGACCCATCTTTGAGTCGTTCCAGGAGGCCGGGATATGAGTCTAAAAGTTGCCCGAAGACGCGATGCTCTCGCCGCTCTCTGTCATGCACGTCAGCGGACAAGTAAGTACAGAAATACATGTCTTTACTCAGCAGAGAATTCCTCCAAAGGAGTATCCTCCAGTAGTTCCAGTCTTAAGATGCCATTGGTGAGTAAGGAAGGGTAGTTACACAATGAGAATACCGTTCGACCAAAGTGGCGTCCGTGAGAGACAAGCGGGTCGGAGGAGGAACTGGAAGACAAGATGAGTCTGTAAAGGTTGTAGTCAACGTTAGGAACTGCTTACACTTTTTTTCGAGGCCCCATTTGGAGAGCTGATGAGCCGCGTTTGCTCGGGATACTGGAGGTGGCGTCTTGGGCGATCATGAAAGCTGGGGGGAAAGGGAAGGGTAGCCTGGATTTCACAACTTTTATTCACGGCACAACGCTACGTAATGTCCCATGAAAACCACCGGTCAGCGCAGCGGCCATGATACTAGCGGCCATGGTACCGGCGGCCATAAATGATGACCAAAACAGCGGCCATAGTGACTCCAGCCGCTCGTATGCTAGCCTACTGGAATATATTAACCCTGAGTTAGGCTGGCAAATTTGATATTTGAAGGCTAGAAAAAGCGTGGCATATCACGATCAAGATAGAGCTCCACTGGCCTTGCATCTTCTCGTTGCGGCTCACCACTCAATAAAACATCTGCCTAGTGCAATATGCCACAATCTTCGTGCAAGTACTTCAAAGTGCAAGGACGTAATGTCAACTTGCACCTGCGGTAAACTTGACGCACCTACCTAGCAATGGGACGTACTGATGCCTTTGTCTAGGATCGAGTTAGTGGGCGGTGCTAATAGAAGCAGTGAGGAACTCGCCGGTATAAGGTCCGTCGACGCCATCAACCATGCTCAAAGCTAATTATAGACCAGTGAGCTGAACGTTGATGACGGCGATTCCTCAGTATGTGACGACGAGTCCCCACTTCTGCCCGTTATCAGCGAAGGCAAGGCGGACTCCACGACCGAGCTCAAAGAGAGACTGCATCTGATAGAGAAGAACTGCTTGGGGCTGGAAAGGTTATACCAAAAATACAGACTTCGTTGGCTGGAGGAAAAATATCGAGTAGGGGTGCTGGAAGAGTACGCACCACATGGAATCAGTACTTGCTCTCCCCGTCAGATCCCATGGGATGCCCCTTCTCCTCCTCGAAGTAGGTTGGTCACGGGTGTTCCTAAAATCAACTGACTGGAGCGCTCAGGTGAATATGATCCTGAATTGGAAGACCAGGAGTGAATGCAGGAGGCGTATCGTAGCATCGTGTCGTCCTACAAAGGTTTCGTGGCACAGAAGAGCAACTTGGACGTGATGCCATTGGTCTTCGCCCACTGCCTATATTTTCCCAACAGACGTAGATATTATATTCTCTGATCGTTAGAAAAACTTACTGCAAACTTGGCTTCTGCATGTCGCCTATCGCGCACGTCGATAATGTACGCGCGCCTGTATTGTTGTTGATTGGAGAAGACGACTTGCGTGCGGTACCGGCACAGGGATTGAGGTTTTATGATGCGCTCAAGGGTAGGGAAAAGAGAGTGGAGATGTTGTGGTTTAAGGGGAGACACATTCGATTGATGGTGTTGAGGCGGCAAGGGTTTCGTGGGAGGCTGGGAGGGATTGGTTTAAGAATCTGAGGCAAACCCCAGCTGACTGATGATGGAGGAGACAGTGTGATCATGAACATCAATTATAGCATTCCTTCGCGACCTCCTGCACGTGTCACTGAGTCTGTGATGAATCATTCATCCAATTCACATTTACGGGGATGCGGCAGATCAACTCACCGACCATACACGTGAGGTGGACTCAGGACACTGTTCAGACAATTTAAACTCGGAACCATTTGCCTTGCAACACTAAATATGTATTTTTTTCCCTAAAGGATACCCGACCGACGGTGAGATGATCGATTCCATTCCTGAGCGAGTCGTATGCGTGTGATTGGACCTGCCGGGGATGAAAGAATTCAGAAACAACATTGCCGGGCAGTCCTTCGACGGCGGTAGAAATCCACGGCCCTGTAAAAAGAGAAAACACGACCAAAGCTGGAATTGATAGTGCACGGTGCAGCCATATTACATAGGCAGTGGAGGGACAACACGATAGAACGAGGGGCGAGAGTAACGGCTAACTTGAAGAGTATACTAAGACAATACCAGACAAGACATAAAAACCAGGCTCGTAGACCTATTAATGTTGTACATCATTAGGACCTGCTTGTTGTTCCACGTTCCGATGCTTGCGCTGCCTAGGGACCATATTCAGAACATGTCCATACTTCAACAGAGAGTAAAGGGTTGCGTACAGATACTACCAATGCGCGAGAATTTCCACCGCTTGGAATCTACAGACGCTGCAGACCTATTGAACATGGGAAAGCGCTTCCAAGATGATTTTGGGGGCGAGGCCAGGACCGGAGTGGAAGCTGAAGAAGTCACTATGCGAGGATGAAAGGAGCTTTGAGGGGGAAGAGATGGGGAAGGGGATGCAGCTGCATCACGCGAGTTAATGGTTTCTGGAGGTACTTGAATATTGTTGGAAAGCTCGAGAGGATTTCATAATCAGAGTGACCTTGAAGAGACAGAGATGGGGAATGTGAGGTAGCAGCATCACGCGAGCCTACAAGTTCTGTTGCGAACTCGGTCGCATCTGGTAGCTCGTCCGGCGCCGGTGCAGAAGAAGCTGGAAGAGAATGGAAGTTTGCGGATGGCTTGAAAAAGATTTGCATGAGATATACTGCTCTATAAACAAGACACGGATTTATTACCTGGTCGATGTAGCTTGAGATGTGGGACGCCGGGGAAACGAATGAGGATGACACGGCATTCGTCATAATGGTGGACTCCTGAGATATATCCCACAAAAAGATTGTGTTTTCCCGACCGCCTGTGGCAACAAGCTGGCCGTTTGGCGAGAAGGCTATCTGGAGACCAGACTATTGAGAACACCGGCTTGTCGTGGATGAGTGGTTGGGTTTGCTGCTTGCCAGTCGCTGCGTTCTAGATGCGAACCGTCTGATCATGTGACCCGCGCGCAAACTTGATTCCATAAGATAAAATGGTTTTGTCCGCATTTATCCATCAAAGTAATAGTATATTAAAAGCACACTGTTTTACAGTGTCGATACAACGCTAGTAACGATCGATACAGCAAAAAAGAATAATTCAAAACAGCTGGAGCGCAGGGCTGTGACGTAAGTCCTGACTGGAACTGATTTTACCAAACTTCAAAGTCGTCATGATGTAATTGGTCCGAGTCATCGTCAGCGTCCACATCGCAGTAGTGTAGCTCATCGGATAGTATAGGCCGTAGGACAGATCGATCCCAGGATGTTTGTGAACCTTCAAGGGCATCAGTTGCGGAGGAGAACTGGTAGGTCTGCGCTTACTGTGGTCAGAGAAATCGAATGCGTGGGTGTTCTCAAGAGCTAGGGTATACAGCGTTATCTCAGCTTGGGCGCGGTGCATCTTGGCCTGCAAGATGAGCAGATCTAGCCCGTGATTGCGTAGGTTAGCGTTGCTGCGGCGAGCAACAAAGGACTTTGACATCAGCTCCGACTGCATGTCCAATTCCGTTTGGAATGCCTCGTAAAAGGCTTCTTGGACATCAGCAGTGATCCATGTGCTCAGCAGGGGTGGTGAGGAGCCGATGCGCTATAGAGGGACAGTTAAGAATGACCAAACAGAATTTTACAGTACTGACATCTAAAACGTCATGTACTGGTTCTTCCTGCGCAGAGGGGGGTTGACCGAGTGATGAAGGGGGCGAGGCCCCAAAAGGGGGGGAGCCCTCCAACAGGGGTGGGCTTCCCAACGAAGGGGAGCTCTCCAAAGGTGGAGACAATCCTGCTGAGTTGAGGTATGCGTCATTCCTTATTAACCAAGCTTCGCACTTTGCTCGCGTAGAGATTGAGCAGGCCAAAGGTGCACAGGGTAAAGGTAAGCACCGTGATGGCGCGCCCACATGCCTCAAGGTTGCTGAGGGTGTCTTGATCTCATGCTTGGCTGGAGCTCCAATATGTGCTACATAGTAAGAGGGTAAGGACCATAATTCCGCATCTCGAAGTCAAAGAAGCTCACGCATTCGGAATTGCTCCAAGATTTCGATGGCCTGTGAGTACAAAGACACCTCCATCTGACACCGTTTCTTCCTCTCTTCCATGAGAAATCGCTCTACAGCCGCATGCCTTCCTCTATCCCTACCGGCATTACAGATGGCTTGGTGTCTATACAAAGTTTCTTCCTGCATTGCCTCTATACTACGCTCCCCCACTAGTTCCCAAAGATCACCAGGATACACTCGATCTTTGAGTAAGTATGACAGTATGTATAATTCAGTTTGGAGCTGTAAGAAATATAAAATAAATCAAGATATACCAAGACGTAAAATTATCAACCGACCTTCTGGCTTGCTATCAGTCCAACGTAGGCATCCATGAATTTGGAGCCTAATAAGGTGGAGAGGTGGAAAATGTCCATGCGAGCAGTTGAGTAATCAAATAGTTCGGGTGAAAGACAAGTCGACATCTTTGTGGGTAGTATCTGGTACTACGGTTTTGCGCAGAAAATGAGCTGAGGACTTATTTGTAGCGAGGGGCAAGTGGGGGTGGGAATCCTCCAGAAACTTGGGAGCTCCGCGGCCCTCAAGCTGTCCTGGCCATCAAAACAATGGGTTAGCCATCAAAAGAACGAGCTAGTAGCCATCAAAGGCGTGTGAACTTTCGCGCATTCTGAGCAACCTCTAGACTAGTAGACTTTTGGACGTCAATCAATGAACAGAAACCTATATGATTTATTAACAGACAAGTGGGCGTTATTACATTGAAGCTGCTATATCAAACGATTATGACGGTCCTTTCGCACTCCTCCCGAACAGATGTGGCGGTTAATCGCTGGCCTTACTCCTACTCGCATGCATTTGTTGCAGCGTTTGAAGAGAATACCGAATTCCCTCACCGGAATCCCATCGCCTTCCGAAGAGTCAAGCTTATTCAATAATTCTGTTTGCTCTCTGCGGTTCCACTCAAGTTCAATTGGGAAGACTGGATGTTCTTTATCATCCATCAATGAAGCTGTGGTACTGTAGCGAAGCAAACTCATACCTCTTTGAGGGTACTGGAAGGTGGCTAAAGAGGACATCCGGAAGTATATGTCTATTTTCACTATACGATGATGAGTCTGGAATCTTCTTAAGCATGGAGAATACTAACCTCGATATCCACATTTATCTGATGCGCATCTCGCAATCCATTCGGTAGTCTTGTCAGTGGTATTCCGCCAAGAGTACACTGCTGCCTCTATGTACGCCTTTCTTCCACCGCCATCAGCGCATAAGCAGCAAGGATATCTAAATTCGTGTCCGTCACGGTACTTTTCTAGACTGGACGGCGGAATCCTCTTTCCATCACCGTCAGCAGGCCTGTGTTGTATGGAGTCACGGCCTAGACTTTGCACAGCATTCAAATCGCATCTCACCAACACCATTCTGTCATGGATTTTGAGGCGCTGTCATAGTGCAAGAGGGCGACGCGGCAGGTCATAGCTTCCGCAATTAATTTGGCTAACCTCCGAGCGGTTTCATGGTAGTCGGGTGGGGAAGTGATGATAGAGGAGGGTGAAGATGGAGGTTCCATTGGGTACTCTATTGCGACAAGGGCGTACTCTGCTGATATACGAGGCCGCGAGTTTTAACCCTCCCCACTCTATCTTGCCGTCATGAAGTGCGCCAGCTCTCCACTCTTTCGCCACGAGTTCCAGCCTTTCTTGCCAGTATTTAAATGCGCCGGCCCCACCTTTAGCCACCTAAGGCTCTGGTCTGTGGGAATTTAGTCATGCGATGATGGCAGCTACGCTGGCAGTTCAAGGCTCGGCTGTTTCTGCCGAACCTTGTTATGACATACAGCTGAAGTTTCAGTAAGTCCTTTTTCATCCGACCTCAATTGCATACTCGTTCTTTCAGCTCCTCCTCTTCATGGACTTCGGGGGTTTACCGCTGACTCCCGCTCCTTTCAGGTGCACCTGTACGCGTCACTTTACGCAGGAAAGCGCCTACACTAAACATCAACGTTCGTGTACGCAAGGGAAGAAGCGATTATTTTCTGCTTTGTCCAAAGCAAAAGAACTTTTGGGCTCTGCCAAACGGTCCCGAGTGGACGGCAGTGGCAGACCATATGCTTGCCTTAGCACGGCGTCTTCAAGCGTGCAGCCCCCCCGCTCATGTGACCTGTCTCCGTCCGCCAACCAGGTTAATGAAGGATCTGTTGCAGGGCCTTCCAACACTGGCTCAACCCTGTCGGAAATGCACTCCCAAAGGGAGCTTTCCTGTGCAGCTTTCTCGTCGCTCAATACCGATTCGGGTGCTGCGCCTATGGTGATAGATGATGACGAAGACCTGTCACTGGCGCAGCGGAGAAGCCGACGTGTTGACGTCCCTATGCCATTGCGTTACAGGCAGTACGAGGACGTTCTTCCACAACCTCCCCCGAGCGTCCCGTTAAGCCATACTGCCCCGCCACCAGGTCCCAACCCACCAGAAAATCCTACTCATGCTTCCACCGGTACTCCTACTTCGTTGCGGGGTCCTCCTTTCCGTACGGCTAAGAATGCCTTCGGACTAGTACGCCAGTTTTTCTCATCCATTCCCCCGTCTCACGATCCGGAAGAAGCTGTGACGCTGCAAGACATGAGCTCTGTCCCAGCTGTCGCACCAGCAGAGCCAGATACCCCCTGCGCGCCTCACGACCTTGCGTTTCACCCATACCCCAACCAGTCTTCTTTCGAGCTCGGTCACTGGTACTGGAATGGTGGCGTGCAGAAGTCTCATAAGGACTTCAAGGAATTGATTGATATTGTTGGCGATTCGCATTTTGATCCTGACGACGTGCGGAGTACGCCATGGGACAGGATCAACTCGACATTGGGTACGAGTCGTGACGACGACGAGGAAAACGAATGGGAGGACGAGGACGCGGGCTGGCGTAAAACCGAAGTCACCATTCAGGTGCCCTTCTCTCGGACCACGGCCCAGCCAGGCTCTCGCTCGTATATGGCAGCGGACCTTTACCATAGACCTCTCATCTCTGTCATTCGGGAAAAGCTCTCGAATGTTCAAGACGATGAGCTTTTCCATTATGAGCCTTACGAACTACGATGGAACGCTTCCCATCTTCCCCGTGAAGTACATATTCATGGTGAACTGTACGCTTCACCGGCCTATATGCATACACACCGCGAGCTTCAGGAATCTCCTGGAGAGCCGGGATGTGATTTACCCCGTGTGGTCGTCGCACTTATGTTTTGGTCAGATGCTACGCACCTGACAACGTTTGGTAATGCGAGGCTATGGCCGGTGTATATGTACTTCGGTAATGAATCGAAATACCGCCGCTGTAAACCGTCCTGCCATCTGGGCAATCATGTCGCTTACTTTCAAAAGGTACGATCACCTTTACTATGAACTCTCTTCAGCACAAAAGCTTATGTCGCAGTAGCTTCCAGATTCGTTTAAAGATTTTGCGAGTACCTACACTGATGGCAAGGGGGCTAGCCGCGAGTGTGCAACCCATTGCCATCGTGAATTATTTCAAGCACAATGGAAGGTCTTACTCGATGATGAATTTCTAGAGGCTTACGAGCATGGCATTGTTATCCTTTGCTGTGACGGTGTCGAACGCAGGTTTTACCCGCGAATATTCACCTACTCTGCGGACTATCCTGAAAAGTGAGTTGTGCACGTCAGCTATATGAATTTCAAGCTAATAAATTCCAGGGTTCTGGTTGCAACGGTTCGGCAGATGGGAGGGTGCCCTTGCCCAAGATGTCTGATACCGACTGCGCGGCTTCACAATTTGGGAATGCACTGCGATAGGCACGAACGTTCAACGCTTGCGCGATCCGATACCTTGAGGAGTGAGCTGGTTACCGCCGCACGCAGCCTCATCCACGACAAGAACCATGGTGTAGATAGTGCAGGAGTTGAGACGCTTCTTAAGCCTAATTCGTGGGTGCCGACCTCGGTGAGCATGATCATCGGTTGCTTTTGCTGCCCTTACTTACCCTTGATTAGAATGTTTTATCTGACGCCCTCGGTGCATTCGGATTCAATCTATTTTTTGCACTTGTCGTTGATCTCCTGCACGAATTTGAGCTCGGGGTGTGGCGCATGCTTCTCATCCATTTACTGAGAATCCTTTTCGCATTGAATAAGGATCTGATCAACGAGCTTGATAAAAGGTGCCCGATGCGTATCTGATGAAGGCCTGATATACTTATACACCCCTGACAGGTATAGGCAGGTCCCCCCGTTCGGACCCTCAACCATTAGGCGGTTCTCTGCCAATACATCTGAGTTGTCAAATATGGCCGCTCGGAACTTTGAAGATCTTCTGCAGGTATGCCTTTAGAACGATTCTCCTAGGTTCTTTGGAACTGACATTGTATAAGTGTTCTATTCCAGTATTCGACGGTCTTCTCCCCGACGATCACAACAAAATCGTCATCGATTTGCTCTTTATCATGGCGCACTGGCACGGACTCGCTAAACTCCGGATGCACTCTGACCTGACATTAGATATCCTTGACCGGCAAACCACTCAACTTGGTGAACAACTTCGTCGATTTAAGGCGAAGGTGTGCACTGTGTACAGTACCCAGGAGCTTAATCGTGAGCTCGATGCGAGATCTCGCCGGCAGGCAAAAGAAACAGCTAAACGGGCAGGGAAAGACAAGGCGGGTGGCAGTCAGCAAGGGGCTGCGGCTCAAAAGCCTAAGGAAGGTGCCAATGTTAAAGGGAAACAAAAGGCAAGCCCAGAGCAATCACAGGACGCACTTTTACCGGGGAAACTCAGGAGAAAGAAGTCGTTTAACCTTCAGACGTACAAGGTTCATGCGCTGGGGGATTATGTGGCCTGCATTCGTCGCTTTGGTACCACGGATTCATACAGCACAGAGCCGGTAAGTCTTAATATATTGTATGCCCCTCTCCGACTTAACTGCTATCAGGGGGAGTTAGAACATCGCATGCCAAAAGGCAGATACCGTCGAACCGACCGGAGGGACTTCATTCGCCAACTAACGCAGATTGAGCGCCGTCAAGCACGCTTACGTCGCATTAAGCAACGCCAGCAAAAATTGGCCCCTCGTGCGGAGCTCAACGAAAATGCGAGTGATCCCCGCTTACAACATCACATGGGCCAAAGCGAAAAGGTTTATGATGAGTTTGGTCATTACCTGCGCAGCCGTGCGAGAGATCCTGCTATGAAGGTAAACAAACTTTGTTTTTGGCGATTATCGCCATTTTGACGGGTATTTCAGGACTTCCTACCACGGATGAAAGATCATATTCTTGATCGCCTTGTTGCAGGAACTTCTGGAATGTCGACGGAGAAATCCATCCACTCCGATGAAGAACGCAACTCAATCCTGTTCAAACGAAACCGAATCTACCATCACAATCTTGTCAGGTTCAATTATACCACGTACGATGTTCGAAGGGCTCAAGAATTCTCACTCATATATATTTTTACATACCTACTCGGTAGCGCTTCGGCTCCGCATGAGCGCGCTTAGGCGCGCTATATAAGCGCTAGCAGTACATACTACACTGGACCGACTTTTCCTACTTTTCACTTACTAGTTACTACCCACTTACTACTTAGCAGAATATAGTAGAAAGCTATTCCTTTACATTTTGCACTCTTATATCTCTTATCTTGCTTTATATCACTACTTAAGCTTAGTTTCTCATTTCCGCATACGCGCGCGCACTTTCCCGCGCTTCGCGCTAATACGCGCGCGCGTTCCCGCGCCTTTGTACCTTGCGCGCTCCTGCGCTTTCTCGCGCTTCGCTTAAGCGCACACTTCTAGATCCTTGCTGCACTCACTTCCCCTATAGGGTCGAACGCACTTGCTTCTCAAGTAACGCAGACTAGGCAGCGCGCGACCTTACAACTTTTACAGATACAGTCAGGAGCTTCTTTTGTTCCTCATTGTATTGTTGTTTCTACGTCATAAACCCGAAGACTCCGCATTGTAATATAATACTTCTCCGACGTGATTGCGATGATGGAACTGACGACAATTACTGCTATGCCAAGGTTTTAGGCATACACCACGTTAATGTTGTTCGCACGGGGAACATCTACGAATCTCACCGGATAGAATTTCTGTTTGTTCGATGGTACGAATCCGTACAAAACCATGCTTGGGATGCATGTACGTTGGGCCGCGTTAGGTTCCTACCCCTCGCAAGCCCAAACGCATTTGGCTTCGTGGACCCAAGAGATGTCCTCAGGGCGTGTCACATTATTCCGGCATTCTCTCGAGGCCAGCGCAATCCGAACGACGGGATTTCTCCTCTTGCAGGAGATAAACATGATTGGTATGAGTATTATGTCAATAGGTAGACGGCTTGATTTATCTTAGCGATACTTACTGATATCACGACTGTACTAGCTTTGCTGATCGTGATTTACTCATGCGTTTTCACTATGGGCTTGGTGTAGGACACACATATTCCCATAGGCCTGGAATCTTGAAAAATCTCGGCTCGGCACTATACCCTGCAGCTCAAACCGAAGATATTGAATACATAGGAACCGAACAAAGCCTCACGGAAACCACCCATTTGCAACATGCAGCCGACGATGAAAACGAAGAGGGCGAAGATCACGTTGGTGTCGAAGAATCTATCCTCTTCGAGCAGCGACGTAATGGAAGCACCGAGACGCTCATAGAGGCACTAGAGGAGATGTATTTCCACCACGCGTTTGATTATGAAAACTGAACTTCTATTACATCAGTTTAGATGGGCGCAAACCCAAACTATTTCCTAGTCATCTCGTTGTCAGTCCCAGTGTCGTCAAATACTAGCCATCATGGCCATAGATCCTGGCCATCACCGCTACATATCCTGGCCATCGTGCGATCTGTAATCCCTGGCCATCAATATCTCTTAGCCATCACTGGCCCCCGAGCACCTCTAACTTTTAGCCTCGTCAAGCGCTGGTTCATCGCTAAGTAGTACTGAGCCCAAGTGACCCTCGTTAATTTACGAACCAGCACTTGACTAATGAATAGCTGCCCGTGATATTTATTGCGCTGCAATTTTCTTTCTAGTCAATCCCAGACGGTGAGGTGAATCCCTCTTATCTAGGTAGGACCATCTTAACTCTATCACAGACATTCAAATGCATCAAACATACTTATATGTACACGAATCCGACGAAGTCTACATGATGGTACAACTTGCTGTAAGTAGGCTACTTAGAGTCGACTCTTGCTGATACCTTTCCTCTAGCACGAGGAGGTGTGCATTTACCATCAGACATCAACGGGATCTAATCGTGTTTCAGCACCCTTTCTCAGCGTTCAAAAACCGTCAATTTCATTTTATTGGATACATGGCCACCCATGGCGAAGTATCACCGCTATATGTAAGACTCCCCCTTCGAAATATTTCCTCTCATTGTTGGTTTGCAGTGTGATGGGCTATCCGAGGTCGAAAGGCCTTGGCTTCGAAAACTGAACGTCCTTGGAGTGCTGTGTATCCCCGACAACGTTGGCATCATCCATGATTACCCCTTGTTTGCAGAGCTGGTCAGGAATTTGTCTTTTTCGTGCTGGAAATTTCGTTTTGAAATAGTAGACTTAGGTTGGCGACTCTACCTTTTTGGTTAAGACGTCTTTCTGTAGGTCTAATATCTTGGATAAACCCGGCCCTATGTGGTTCGTAAGTATTGTTCTGATTAAAGTCTAGCTTGCCATGGACTTATCTTGCTTCGGCAGTTATCCCAGCTATCTGAAGCGTCTATTCCTTTCACTCCGGCGCAATTTCCACATGGATTTCCCCCTCCCGTCCTCGAGGACAACGCATTTTCATACGGGCAGCAACTATCCGTCATCACCGATGAACCATCCTCGATGCTTGAGTTGCCGCTCTCCGCTGGCCCCACCGTCACCGGTGACACTCACTCGGTGTCCCAGCCCCCGCATTCTGCCCCTTTCAACGACGTAATCAACCCATTTGATTCTCTCTTACTGTCTACTCCCAATTCCCCTAGCACGTCTGCTGCACATGCGTTCACCTTCGGCTACAGCACTCTCTGGCCCACGTCGTCAACGGTGTTCTCTGACAGTATCACGGTATTCGAGGCTTCGGAGGGCCTGTACGAGGCTGTCCCTGGTAATCCAACCCCCACCGGCGATCATGTACGACTCCATCCGGAGTTACAATGGAGAGATTCGACCAATCTCTGGGGAGAACATTCAGGATCGCAAAGGACACAAATTTCGCGTTTGTTGGGGAAGTCGCCGTGCTGGTTCCGAGTTTTGACACTCACGAAGGCCCTTCTCGACGGTAGTCTATGGGTCGGACTTTATGGTAATCCATTCAAACTCTCTGCGGTGGATCACCGGCGTGCAATCACCAGTAATTTTCTAACTGCCCTACGACTCGAAGGCAAAACTTACGACGAGATCAGGGATCAGCCAAGTGAGTGCTCTATCGTTTGATACTTTGAGACCTTATCTTACAGTTCGATTCAGTAATCATCAATGAGGGTGGAAAAGACATCACTATTGGATGGCAGATACTCCGCACACACGTGCGCTTTCCTCCTTTCTTACCTTCACCTCCTCCTGATACATTCGAGTAGTTGCTTGCGTGGTTCGAGCACACAAGATCTGAGTACAGAAAAGTCATCAAGGGCGCCATGACGTTCTTCACAAATTTTTGTGAAGACACTGAGTCTGGTAGAGCAGAAGCAATCACGCATTTTCTCAAGCTCTTGAATTCGGAACATTGCCACGATGTAAGTAACAAACGAGATCTTTGAACCTTCTTACATATCTTTCGTCATTCAGGTACAGGCCGCCATTTCGGAACTAGTGGGCGAACAGCTCTTTGCAGAGCTCCTCTGGACATCCTTGTTGATGCCAATGGAAGGGTTGGCTGACGGGAAAAGAAGTGGGAGGGTAGCGGACTTTTTCCCCGAAGATATCTGCACATCGACTAAGTGTTTGGCGGAGGATACCGTATGCAACTTGGTGACATTAGTAAGTCTTTTCCTCATTTGTACGTTCTTGAGTGATATAACAAAACCACAGATCTACCAGACAATGTTACTTGTTTTGAAGAGGCTCGTGGGTAAAGATCGTAAAAAGGAACTCGCTGTCTACCTGGACCACAAAGTTATGTCCGATGTCATCACGGCCGCGCTTTGTCCCATGTATGAAAAGCCGTATTTGTTTCCCGAGTTTACGCAGACCGTGACGCGGCTGCCTTTCATACAGTCAGTCCTTTACATGTTGCTTAGTATTGCTCATCATGATCTAAATTCAGGTATCAAAATGTGCTCAACTTCGAGCCAAAAACGAAAGCGCCAAGAATGATCGGGAAGACCAAGGTTGCAAGAACCCTGCACGACGTCAGGCCCATTGATACCACCGAACCATTCGAGGCTGGCAGCCTACCAAACAATGCAGGCTTTCAGTCCTATAGGTCACTCGTAGACGTATTCTGCTCCATAAACGACTTCAGACCGGTGATGCAAACTTCATGAGACGGAGTCCCTGTCTTTTTCTTAAATTCCTGTTGGATTGTCGCCTTAATCTTTCATGTAACACTTCCGTTCATCCTTCCTGCATTCTAGCAGCACGATTATGTTGACAGGCGCTTGTAGTCGGCAGCTCATTGATAGCCAAAATTCCCGCCTGTTTTGAATGGTGTTTTGTTCGCACAGTCCTGCAGTGTATTACATCAATATTCTTTAGTCATCAAATATGTCTTTTATCTATTACAAAGTCATTGCATTTTACGCTAATGAGTTCCTGCTGTCCCAAAAGCCATATAATTAGTGGCACGCAGATACGAAGGAGATCATCAGATGTCTGTCGCATCATACATCCTGGGTCAGTTGGATACAGTTCTCACCTGACGAGAAAAGGCTCGCATTGGCATCAGAGGATGGCACACTAAAGATCTGGGATGTAGAGACATGGGAACTTGTGTTTGATATCGATGATCATCAGGGAGAAGTATGGACTGAGTTGCCTATTCTCCTAACGGAACAAGGTGAGTTCAAGTTACCTACGCGTGTAGTCTATTATTAAGCGAATTTTTTTTCTCTCTTGTATTTGTACCTGTTTTTCTCATGCTGGTTATCGCCACCCATCAGGCGAGTCTGGCAGGTGGACCGTGTTGTCCCTGCAAAATGAAGTTCGTTCCAGGCGATCTGTGGTCGAATGTGTGTAGTTTCTCAATCTTTATGACTTCAATGTGCTCAGAGCTCTGCAAGATGTTAGAGATTGCCTGCTTTCCAGATAGGCTGATTATATGCGTAGGCCAACAGGTTCGCACCGCATCTCCCTTTGTTGGTTAAAATTTTGATGGTGAGGATAAGATCTAGAGCCAACATCACGTTCACATTTGGTCGAATGGAAATAACAAGCGCAGATAGCAGTCAGTGACTATATTCTGACTGTGTAGGGATGGAAGGAACTGTGTTACCAGTATTACCTCCTTGGCGCCTATGGCACAATGCAGCCTAGCGTTCGAAGATTCTGTCTAGTGGAGCCATTTGAGTCTGCAGAAATAGAATGGCATACTCACCCTGTATGTGAAGACCATGTATCATTGCCTATTCAATAAACTGACGAAGGAACGTTGTAGACATCTTTGCAAGGCCTCCCAATTGCATTCTTCACCTTTGGTGTCCAACTGGAAGCTGTAAAAAGTCTTCATTAGCTCATAGTAGGACATGGGCAGTCATCGCAGAACACACCATGGGACACGATTAAGTCGAAACCAGGTGCGAGTGCTAAGGGGGATGCAAAGCGAGAGGTCAAACCACCGAACTTGGCAAACTGTTTCGTCACTTTAAGGCGAAAGCCTTGGGCGGGTGCCAATGTCTGGGATTTCCCCTCTTGCAGGAGATAAACATAATTGACATGAGTCAGATAGACGATTTCTAGATCTGTGCTAACTTTGTTGATCGTGATTGCTTCATGCATTTTCACTATGGGGTTGGTATAGGAGGCGCATACTCATATGAGCCAAATGGCTCGGACCTTGATGAACATGTGGAGACCGGACAAAGCCTCACGGAAACCATCTACCAGCTGATAATTAGCATAACTCGCGCCAAGACATCCTCAATTGCTTTCCGACTTCGGGTGCGTTCTTATATCGTTGAACCCAGCACTTATCTGAATGTGATGGTCTCATTTGTGTGCAGCCGAAGCAGTCACATCATACCGTGGGCGACATACTCTGAGGGCCGCTTCGTTGTTGACCTACATAAATGGCGTTCGTGGACAAGCCACATGGAGGTAATTTCATCAAGCTGATTTGTCAAGGGACTTCGTCGAATTCCATTTTTAAAACGGCTTCTCTTTACCGAAGAAGTCTGATTGTCTCCGTTGCAATAATTGCTACCTTTCTTCCACGATTAACTAATTGTGCCGAGCGCCAGCCTGCGTTGAAGCGCCTGGAAGGGGATGGGGACCTGAAGAGACTGAGCGGTGGCCGCGTTCACGGCTTTTGCCCCGCTATTACCGACCAGAAGGTGCCGTAGTTCGCATTGCTATCGGTTTAGCATGGTCCTTCAATTTTTACTCCCCCACTTTTAGTGCAACGCTTAGGCACAACCCAGCAATACTGTTCCTTATTGTGCCTCCTAGGATATATGTTATCATTTCCACATTCGTGTGGGCCAGGCAAGCTTCCATATCGAACGATCTAGGAACTGATCCGGAGGACTTCTCAGGCACTGTTTCTTGTCTGAATCCTCCATTGGTACAGGCTCCGTCGAGGACTTGCATCGAATTGGCGCATGGAAGCTCAAAGATGACAGCAAGAATACACCTTCTGCATTTTGGACTAGATCCATCGAAATTGCAGACTGCTATGACGACGGTCGCCTCGATAAAGACATGGATGTTTGTCTCCTATTCGTAAGGAACTATCGAATTCACCTTTGACTTCGACCACGTCTGATGTTCATTAGTCTGGTCTTTTCTCAGCTGTCAGCTCAGCATTTATTCTTCACATGCAATCAGACCTCTGCAGCTGACATCACCGATCTTATGTATCACACTATCCAGAACGACCCGAGTGAGACTCTCAATCCTTCCGCGTGGACTGGGCCGGAACCAATAATTATTTGCGCAACATCGCTTGCCCATGCAAGTTTAATGCTGCACTTGGTGCCAGTCTTGGAAAGCAACGGTTCATATACTTCAAGTCCTCTACTCTACTCTACCCCCACCCTGTCTAACCCCATGAGCTACAGGAAGGCGTTAGTGGTGACTGTTCAACCACTCATCACCGATCAAGTGGCATCTTTGCGAGAGAAGCACGTTAATGTTGACTGCATGTCTTCCCTAAGGACCGTAGACGACTCTTGGGACGAGTCTTGGAAAGCAACGGTTCGTATACTTCAAGTCCTCTACTCTACTCTACCCCCACCCTGTCTAACCCCATGAGCTACAGGAAGGCGTTAGTGGTGACTGCTCAACCACTCATCGCCAATCAAGTGGCATCTTTGCGAGAGAAGCACGTTAATGTTGACTGCATGTCTTTTCTAAGGACTGTAGACGACTCTTGGGACATCATGCGTCACCTTCGAAGCCAGCAAAAACCCGACATTTGCTATATCACTCCCGAAAAGCTACGCGAGAGCAATGCCATGCAAGATATTCTAGCCTAACTGTATGAAGAAAAGAAGCACGTTCATGTTGACTGCACGTCTTCCCTGAGGACCGTAGACGACTCGCGGGACGTCATGCGTCGCCTTCGAAGCTAGCAAAAACCCGACATTTGCTATATCACTCCCGAAAAGCTACGCGAGAGCAATGCCATGCAAGATATTCTAGCCCAACTGTATGAAGACGAGCAAATCGCGTGCTTTCTCATTGATGAGGCACATGTCACTCAGCCGGGGGGGATTTTCGCGATGCTGTAAGTTTGCACAATTTGGTCCATGAGTGCATTAACAAGTTCTTAATTGTATCTTTAGCATGCAGAGGCCACACGAGCTCGCCCTCGCGCTAACGCCTAAGGCGAATGTGTCTCAGTTGTTTAATCATGCTCGTATTACGCATAAGTATGAATTCCGCTCGATCGAAGCATGGGCCCTCGGTGCCCTTACGATTATATACATGCGCCTAACGCAACAAATGCACACTTTCAGATAGCAAGCTCCCTCTCGATTCCTTCAAATCCGCTCTCGATTCTTCAAGGCCTGCTCTCGATTCTTCAAGACTCCTTCTCGATCCTTCAAGACTCGCAATCTATCCTTCAACAGCCCCTCGCGATTCTTCAACAGTCCCTCGCGATCCTTTAATACTGCTTCTCGATCCTTCAACAATGCCTCGCGATTCTGGCTCGTGCGATCTGGCTTGCCGAGTGGATCGGCACTATGGAGGTAAGAACCTGTAGCACTAGTAGATTACCTACTTACTTTTGGTGCCCTTCACTTCGCGCCACGGCCAGTGAGAATCCACTCACTACCACCTCCACCGCAAGCTTAATGTACCAATTTATTTTCTGGGAACCGAGTGAGTGAACGATTAATGAGAACTCTTTTCACTCACAGGAAGTCGAGGGCCCATTCCTGCAGATAGTGATTGATGAGATGTGCGTGTGCTTGTGCGGGTCCATCGCCCTAAAAAGGGCGGTGTGACACGGTGTGACAAATCGGCAAATCGAACCGTCCACCCGGACACACCTCAAACATTTGAAGGCACTTTGAACATACAATGACCCTACGGGTACACCTGGACCCGTTATTTCTTAAATACTTTCTTAGAATTGATAATTAATACACTGAAGTGCGCAGCATACCCACAATATATAATCTTATGATGACTTGGAGCGCGGCGTCCACCCGCGTGCGTCTCGCGTGCCAGTAATACATAGCTATGTCGCCAGCATTTGTTGCCCTATGCTGTCCATACCTTATCAAGCGCTCACGTTGGGATAGACATCAAAGCGACGCTGTTTTGTGACTGGTATTCCAGCTCTTACCTCGTGGAATGGTTCAGGATCTAGCTACCGAGCTCGTTGAAGCAGTTCCCAATGCAAAGGTCCAGTGGTGAGGTTAAATGCCCCAGGATAAACCATGGCGTGACAACCTTAAGAGTTTGTGCGTTTTTCGTTTTTCGTATAAATCAGGTAACCACGAACCTCGCCGTGCCGCAATCATCGCCAGTTCCGGGAACCTGACGTCGTAGCACAAACCGAGCCCAATACGTGCAAATTCTTAGGAGAGTTTCATCGAGTGTGGTGCAAGCACGTTGAATGAGGTTCGCACCAGTGTCAAAATAGTTCGCCATTGTTCCTCCTGTCAACGTTTCGCTCTCCTGTAGGTACGATGAGATCCAGAAAAGACGCTAAAGCGAGAACTAGTAAAGGGTATACCTTGAATTTTATCTTCCCGGATATTGATGTCAAATAGGTGAACCTTGCGATGTGATGCAACAAGTGCACCTCCATCCACGTACATCAGTGTTGATTGGAAAGAGTTTCAGGGAACTTGACACCTGTCGGAGAATACACAGTGCAGGTGTTGTAGATGTCGTTTGTCTCCACATCTCTCTCGGGTATCGAACCTGTTAGACAAAATATAAATTTTCTATCCCTTTGCCACACATTTGAGTGAGGTATGACCTCCGATGAGCCAGATTCCCGCCTCCTTCGCAGCAGAAGATAGCATCTTGACACTTTCGCTTACACTCGCTTGAATATCATACTCCTTGCCAGCAGTGTAGCTAATGTTCTCGGCATACGCGGGGAAGTGAACAAAGCCGTACGGCGAGTTGAAACATTCCTGAAAAATGAGTTAGATGTCGTGACTTGCGCGAGCCTTGATCAGCGCAGTGAGCAATGGCGTGTATGAAGAAATGTGGTGCCGAGAGACGGACAGTGTTCATTACACATATGAACACGGAGCAGGTCACGGACACAATCATGCGTATCAGTCGCCTTAACAGACAGAGAATGAGTGTACTACTAGTAGATCTAGGAATGTTTAGAATTCTTACTGAATTTAAAAGGTCTGGCTAGTGTGTAGGCCAGGACAACGTACTGCACTCAATAGCGACTCTAAACAACTTTGAGAATGTTCCAACATAATATAACTGCGAGCAATGACCACACTATACGTCAAGATATTGCAGGACATTGTAACCCTTGATTGCCAACCGGGTGACATTGCAAACGGGCATCGCAAAGACAAGCTCAGATGGTGGGTGACCATTATTTCGGAAAGATGGCGACTTCCTTCAATGGTTTATCTGTCAAATATCATAGTTTGCGAGACATACATATGTTCAACAGAATTAGATTTGTTTTGCAATTTCTTATCCCTCACTGTTATTATGCCGAGGCTAAGTTATGACTTTATCTTTGGATATAATTTGTGTATATTTGATTTTATTTTGCCAAAACTATCTATTCAAAACATCTCCAAGCCGATTTCGTGATGGCTATTCAAGCCCTTCTCGTGAGAAGATACCTTTAGCGGACAACTTTTGAAACTGGCTGTACCGCTTCCAGCGGCCTCCGCTTTCAATAAGACTACATTAAGTATTTTCAAAACAATGCTTTACATGTTTCTGATTGCTGCTTATTGCAAATGTGAAAGTACAGCGGCGCTCTACGAGGCATCAGCGGGATCAGTTGTGCTACAGCGCTGGAAATATCCTAAGTCCAACATTTGTATATGTTTGTTCATGTGACGGTGCGCTCACAAAAGTTCAAGTTGAACTTTTCTTCCCGCTCTCACTCGCCCTCACTCATCGCTACTCTCACTTGCCACTTTGGCCGACAATGATGGTGCGATGACAACAACGATGACCCGACAGCAACAACCCAACAACATCAACACGACGACGACGATACAACGACAATGACGACGATACGATGACGACGATACGACAACGACGACAACACGACGACGACGACGACAACACGACGACGACGACGACACGACGACGATATGACGATGACGACGCGACGCAATGCGACGACAACGACACGATGCGACGACAATGACGACAACGACGCGACACAATGCGACGACAACGATGCAATGCGACGACGACGATGCAATGCGACGACGACGACGCGATGCGACGACGACGCGATGCGACGACGACGCGATGCGACAAGGACGAGACGACAACGACGACGCGATGCGACGAGATGACGATGACACGACGACGACGCGACGACATGATGCGATGCGACGAGACAACGATGACGATGACACAACGACACAACGATGATGACGACGGATACGACGATGACACAACGACGACACAACAACATATCTCTCGCTCGCTCTCATCTATAAGAGCTAGTTCGGCAACTCGATATTTTCGATATTTTTCAATATTTGCTTTGGCATGTTTGCGAAAATGTTCACCGGCATCGTTCCGAGATGTCGGAGCTCGAACCTTGCTTCTCTCCTACTGTACATATTATCAATGGATGTATACCCTCATCTAACCCTAGAGCGGCGTAAGAGGCTTTTTGCTGGTGCGGTCGCGATCACTGCGATCTGTGCACAGTACACTACTCTTCTCATGGCCCAACCTGAAGTCAATGCTCCCCCTCACTCCAAGGCCCCACCAGCGCAGTGGAATGATGTCGAGACTGTTACCCTTGTAGACTATCTCTATGATCATCGCTCAGAGGCTGAAGGGGCAGGCAACTTCAAGCAGCAGGTTCTTGGCTCTGCTGCAGAGTTCATCAACAATCATGAGGCGCTTCAATCCACTCGCGCAGGTCCACTGAAGACAGCGAAATCAACTCGAAACAAGTGGACATCAGTAAGCCCTATTTGATCTCATCTGATCTAAGCTGACGAGTCTCATCTAGCTTAAAAACATATTTCATGCTATCGAGAAGTACCGCAACCAGACAGGGGTCCACTGGGACAATGAGACTGGAGCTGGGATTGAAGGAACTGCGGCTGCGGCTGTATGGACATCGTATGTCAAGGTATGTCCCCTCTTCATCATATTGATTTGAGCGCTGACTTTTGTCAGGCAAATAACCTCATGCGTCCTTTCCGCAACAGGGGATGGGAGCATTATGAAAAAATGCAGACCATCATCCCATTGGGCGGCGCTAGAGGGCGGCACGTCTTCCGTCCAGGTGGCGCTGCTCCCTCCACCACCAATGCTGATAACGATCTTGCGGATGCTGCTGGCCCATCAAGCACTGCTGCTGTTCCTGCTGCTCCAAGCGCTGCTGCTGTTCCTGCTGCTCCAAGCGCTGCTGCTGTTCCCGCTTCTGCAGGCCCATTAAGCACTGCCGCCACCTCTACGTCCATCACTAGCTCCACTCCTGCACGTTCCACCGCCATCTCTACTACCGCTGCGTCTACCGCTGCGTCTACCGCTGCGTCTACCGCTGCTGGCTCTAACGCCAGCAAGCGCCCATATTCGGATGTGATGGGGGACATGGAGTCAATTGGCTCCACGCACTTGTCATCGTCCATGCGACCTCCTTCCACCACGCTGGTGTCAGCCCCCCCATCCAAGAAACCACGGACTCCGGTGGTGTCCCAGAACAGCCGTGTCACCAAGATCAGCAGTGCCGCCAAGGCTGCAAAGATCACGCCGGCAGCTGCTGTGGTGGGGATGCAAGGCACCATCAACCGGCTCACCGACGTCTTTGAATGGTTTGTCAGAGGAGGGCCTGATGGTGCACAAGGTAGTGAGGACCTGGTCATGCGAGCCGTCAAAATCCTGGAAGGCGAGGACTCTGACATACCGCCGGACCAGCAGGCTGCTCTCATCATGTTCATTGGTTCAAAGGGCAATGAACATTACCTCAAGTTCTACGTGAATCTTCAGGAGAAGAGTAGGAGGCGTGCATTCGTGGGGAAGCTGATCGGCGAGGCAGTTGATGCAGGTGATGCCGGTCCAGCGCCGCGTGTTGATGCTGAAATGACGGGCTGAGCCGCCTGCCAGCAGGACAATATTCGTTTTCAATGTTTTAAATCTCATCATGCTGTGTGTTCGCTCGCTACTTCTTGTGTTGTGTTGCTATATGTTGTACTACCTACCACCTGTGAACTGAATAGAATAACTCTTGTGTGTCAATAACAAGCGCGTTCTCACTTCATTGTTCATTGTTCAGTATGGAGCACAGTAGTAAGTACAAAGTAAGCCTACACATCACTATCAGTATCATCAGCGGCATCAGCAGCAGCATCCTCGTCATCGTCCATGATATCAAGTGCGTCTAAACCCCGTTCCTGTATGACGCGCTGATACTGCGTCCACATCGCTGCTGCAATGCGATCACGCATCGCAGCTCCTTGACGAAATTCCTCCTCGTTATCCTCCTCAATAGCTGCTGCGTCATCCTCCGCGGCCACGTCAGCGCCAAGACCACCACCATCCTCAACATCTTCATCTTCATCATCAGCAGGAGGATGACCCTCGCTAGGGTCACGAAGACGAATGTAGTTGTGTAGGGCGCAAAGCGCGGCTGGAATCTGCGCTTGAATCTCCATAGCGTAGGCCGGTGGTAAGAGCAGTATGCGAAAACGTTGCTTGAGAACGCCAAAGATGCGCTCAATGACGTTTCGTGCTGACGCGTGACGTAGATTAAATAATTCCTCCTTGTTAGAAGGCCTGTAAACTTAGTACTTAGCACATTGAAAATCAATCGAGAATGAACTTACCGTATATTGGCGCGACCCCATTCGGCAAGATGATAACGCACGCTTCGGTAGGGTACCAGCAACCCAGGACGTAGAGGATATCCTGCGTCGGCAAGAAAATATTTGCCAGCGGGAGTGCGAAAGTCGTAAGAGCAGGCGTCCTCGTAGACGCGAGCATCAGTGGCCGACCCTTCCCAGCCTGTAAGTGCGTATGTGAAGTTGAGCTCGAAATCGCATGCGAAAAGGCAGTTCTGCGACACGAAGCCCTTGCGATTACGATACACCGGACGTTCGATGGCCTTAGGCGTGACGTGGATGTGACTGCCGTCGATCGCCCCAATAGCGTCCTTGAAAAAGGGCCACCATTTGGGGTTCTTCCGAATTTTGCGGGGGACCGAACCATCTGGAAAGCCCACGTATCTTGAATAGAACGGGTCCGACGTGAAGATGATAAGCATCTTGCGGAAATAACTACATACTATTAGATACTGTCACTTGAAATAAAATAAAATAAACTCACCGTGAAATCGTTTCGTTCGAGCGTTGAAATCTCTCCGCAACATGCCTGATTGATAGGCCAGTCACAGAGGTGTAAAGAAAAATCGCAAGTTGTTCCTCGAGGGACACAAACTTGGAGTCTGAATGGCCCATGGTGCGAAGCTCGGAGATAAGCTCCACAAATGCATTGGCGCGCATGCCAAGCTCACACCTGATGCGCTCTGGGTGACCAGTGAGCAACTCGATCACCCAGTCTTGCCCAGTTAGCGCTGAAGTGTGATAGGGCTCGGGATCTTTGGGATATATTGATTGTAGGATGCCGTGCGTAGAAGCAACAACGATGCTGATTACGAGTACCATGCATTTGAGGAGTCGTTCCCGGACCTCTGGCCGAGGATTCGTCATGAGCGCTGCTAGGCGTTGGCGCTCCATCGCGAACCCCAGTGGTTGGGGATCCATCAAGGTATATACCCTACCCTCATTATCACTGATCTTGTTGATAAGCTCAAATTCAAGCTCCGAATCGCCTTGGACTTAGGGGGAGCATTGACTTCAGGTTGGGCCATGAGAAGAGTAGTGTACTGTGCACAGATCGCAGTGATCGCGACCGCACCAGCAAAAAGCCTCTTACGCCGCTCTAGGGTTAGATGAGGGTATACATCCATTGATAATATGTACAGTAGGAGAGAAGCAAGGTTCGAGCTCCGACATCTCGGAACGATGCCGGTGAACATTTTCGCAAACATGCCAAAGCAAATATTGAAAAATATCGAAAATATCGAGTTGCCGAACTAGCTCTAATAGATAGATAGATGTTCGCTGTTTATGTCAGATTTAAAATTTAATGGAATTTGCTTGATATCATTTAATTGAATTGGAAAAGCTGCCTGAAAATAATGTGCTAGTATTGTCGTGAATTGAGATCCTATTTACGAAAATTTGAAAGGGATTAAAATAATTGGACAGATTGCCAAATCGTCAAATTCTTGCAGATTTGTGCAAGTTGGATCGCATTTCATACAATTTGAGAAGGAGGTTTTTCCTGAGTAGCTTTGACATCGGAAGCAGATACAAGAAAATGAAAAACGCTTCTTTCCTCTACAAGGTCAAACATGATAATGTAATGACCGATGGCAGAATTATGCTGATGTGTGCGATTGTGTACTATATATTGTGATATATGGCTTTCTACTTTCTTCACCGGTTCACTGATGGACTTCATCGACCCATCCACAGTACCTGTCAAACATTTGGGACTTGATTTCATGATTTGGCGGCCGCGAGCAATATGCCGCGTACCACTTTCCAAGGACATTGAGGAAATTACGCTGACAGGTCTGGTTACTAAGGTCAGCAATACTGGTTGAATTTATAGCAGGGTTGTGACTGACAGCCATATAGCGCCGAATTATCTGGCCTCAGAACTTCGGTATCCCTTGGTGGGGATACTATTTTGATCGCATGATAGAAGAAGCACGGAATCTAAAAAGGCTGACGTTCTGGTTCGAGGGAAACCGCGAAGACGCTCGTTCATGGGCTCAACTTCTCTTCCAGGAGTTCCATGATACCCTATCACGTTTGGAGCACGTCTCATGCGTAGTTGCTGGACCAGACATTTCAACGACATTCGACTTCTCGCCGGGTTGCCTCCCGATCTCGCATGAGGATCATAGAACCCGTGGTCATAGGGCCGCGAATGACGTTAGGGAGCTGATGCCGGTCCTGGTCCTCTGTTGCTGGAGTGAGGAAAACCTTTGCGATGTAAATTGTGATTTCAACATCACACTCACTTAATTTTTGTGCTCTTCCTGCCACAGCGGCATTCATAATTCTAGAGGCAGTATTTTAAAAAAAATCCTATTGTCTTTGGGCAACGCCCGATGTAGATTATACTTCTGTGTACTAAAATCGATGATGACATTGGTGTAATTATGAACCATGGGCTTAGTGGCAGCATTAGGCCGTTACTAGGTACAATCGTACTTCCAGCTGCCAAGACTGTCGTGCGCTTAACCGTTACGCTCGGGTGTCAGTATCGCGAATAGTATTTTGAGAACTCTAGTAAGTCAGCGTGCTTCCAATGTGGACATTCAAAGAAAAAATGGCTGGTTCGCAGTCAAGGATGCCATTCATCTTACCCTCGAGGAATCAGATTGGAGCGGATGTGGCGATCCAGGCGGTGTCATTGTCAAAGCTTAAAGGACGGTCTCCCGCATCCTCTTCACAGAGGCGAAGCTTACCGAATGCGGAGACTGAACTTCATCGAGGCAATAAAGGGTGAGAAATCGTCCAGTGTATAGCACTGTCGAAGCAGAACCTGAAACAACTTGAACATCCACCATATTTATTTATGCGAACGATATATCGCATGGCATTGTAGCTCTGCAACTTGATCAAGCTTGATCAAGCTTTTTGAAGTGGCGGTGGATTACTGTAGCGCTTAGCATTAGTTAAAGTTGTTCCTCGCTCAATTCTATCTATATTTGACCAATCATAACTTCCACTGAACCGCTTATCATTGTGATGAATACGCCTTTGAAGAATCTTGTTGAGGAGTGGCTTCGCCTTGATCCAGTGTGTGCTAGAGGCTGTTACTACTTTGGATGTTGCTCACAGTTACTCTAGAACGAATCCACAAGAAAGGATGTGGAACATTTGTGGAATAATAACGCCGTTGGCGAGTTGGAAAGACGTATGAGGTATGTTACCAACTGGCATTACGGTCCCGTGCAAAGACATGTTGAGCATGAGATACGCATAGGACACGCATAGAATTCGGCACCGCAGGTGTGGATGTTCATTGTCAGCTCAGTCTGACATTCTGAGGCTTTGCATTTACAAAGGTCTGAGGGGAAAGATGGAAGCCGGATGGTCTCGCATGAATGATCTGATCGTGATTCAGGCATCCCAGGTGGGTTGATCACTTGAACACGCCAAAATCGTTGTGGATGTGACGTAACTACTAACTTCCCCTTACGACAGGGATTGTGCGCCTATGTTCTCGAACACATTCAGAATGCTGCTACCCGTGGAGTAGTCGTAGGACATGACCACCGGCACAACTCGGAGAGATGGGCTCAGCTTACTGCAGCTGCTTTCATCGCCAACAATGTCAAAGTTTACCTGCATAATGGACTTGTACATACTCCAATGTATGCTATCATCCCTTCTGCGGTTGCTTCTGATGTAGACTGACCGCACTCGAAGGGTTCCATTTTCCGTAAAAGCGCTCAATGCCGCCTGTGGAGTCATGATCACAGGTATGTTGCACTTTTCATTACAGAGTCGCACGCCTTCAAGCTAATTTCCGATCTAGCAAGCCACAACCCGAAGGTCAGGCAGACGTTATGTGTTTGAAGTGTAGCTCATTGAAGTTCTCCTATAGCAAGACAATGGCTATAAGGTTCGATCCTGATTACAACTCTCATGGTGCTCCACTTATCATGAGCTAGGTCTATTGGGAAAATGCAGTCCAAGTAACACATGACTTGTGTTTCCATCCTTGAGCACTGAGTGTGTTCCTCTTTTAGATCATCGGGCCGCATGATGTCGGAATTGCACAATCCATTATGCAACACTTGGAGCCCAGAGTGCATGACGCTTCTCGGGTAATGGAATCGGACCTGTGCGTTGATTGTACGGAGGAGATGAAAAAAGGGTACTTTTGTTCTCTCAGCAATCTGCGCGCAAAGATGTTATCGTAAGTTGTTGGCTACCACTAGTTGTCATTCTGACCCTATTGAGTCACCAGATTTGACGGAGCTTCAGTGGCGTTCGTAAATACATCTATGCATGGCGTTGGGGATCCATTTACATCCAAAGCCTTCGAGATTGCCGGATTTTCGCCATACACACCCGTTAAGGAACAGCAGCATGCAGATCCCGAATTTCCAACGGTGAAGTTCCCAAACCCTGAAGAAAAGGGTAATGACTACCTACTTTTCTGTAATTATAGCTCTGACGACGAAGCTTGCAGGCGCACTCGTATGTTGAAATTTATGTGTCTGGGGCACCGGCTTACTTGTTTTTCAGGATCTAGCTATAGCTACGGCGGACGCTAAAGGGGCATCGTATGTTCTTGCACAGGACCCAGACGCAGATCGCTTCTCTGCAGCTGAAAATTGGTATGCATGAGGCTTTTTGTACTGGCTGACTTCATTAGAGATCGATCTATAGTGATGGAAAGTGGATAACATTTACTGGTGACCAGCTTGGAACATTGTTTGCCTATCATGTATTCGAGACCTACAAGGCCTCCAGCAAGCCGATAGGTAAGTTCGGCACGATTCGTTGCCAGCCTGCCTGAACATATCTTTAGGCAAGTTGGCCATGGTTGCTTCAACAGTCAGCTCCAAGATGGTTGAAGCCATGGCGCAAATTGAAGGGTTTCGCTTTGTCGATTGTCTCACAGGTGTGCACTGCATAGTAGGGTTTCCGTGAGGCGCTGGAAACGACTCGTGCTGTTCTAGGCTTCAAGTTCATTGGCAACACTGCTTTAGATCTTGTCCAGGCCGGATATGAAGTACCTTTTGGATATGAGGAAGCCATAGGGTACATGTTTGGTTCTGAAATCAGAGATAAAGATGGGGTGGCCGCAACTGTAAGTGACCCTGCTAACCGTTTTTACTTCTTTCTCACCCAGATCGTCTAGATGGTATTTGCGCAACTTGCTGCAAGCTTACGAGCACGAGGCACCACAGTGTCCGCACATTTACAAGAATTATATCGAAGGTGAGCCGTCCTCACCATTGTCGTGGCCATGAGTTTATCGTAAACCAAGATATGGATATTTCGAGGTCCGTATACACTCGTCCATCGCCGTAGATATCATCTCATGGATTCTGAACAGACGAGCAACAGCTATTTCGTCTGTACTGACCCTCTTGTCATCGAGAATATCTTTAGGAAGATTCGCTCTTCTGGTGATATGGTATCATTCAGCGTGATTAGAATGGCAGGAAATAAACATCATTATTGACAGGGCTCATCTCAAGGACGCTCCTATCCGTCCTCAATTGGCGGGTTGCAGATACGGAGCGTTGTCGATCTAACGGAAGGGCACGGTTATGATAGCATGAACGCACCCACTTATCAGCCCAAATTACCGTTGTCCTTAGGACATATGATGCAGTTCAGAGCATCATCCGATTCAGATGACTCTCGGATCGTTCTGACAATTAGGTGAGCCAAAGTAACTGTGGTTGCAACTACGTGCGATGTTCATCTTCTGCACAGGACAAGTGGGACCGAACCAAAGGTAAATGCTCTTAAATGTCTCCATATAGTGATGTTTGAGCTTCCCCGTATCAACCTGCCTAGATCAAGTACTACCTCGAAGGCAGTGGGAGCAACCGCCAAGCTGTGCACAACTTACTTGGTGGTGTAGTGGATGATCTAGCAGAAGATTGGATGAATGCCGCTGAGAACGGACTGAGCCGGCCATGATTTAAATGTTGTAAACCCAATTCTTGTTGTTTGTCGCATTATGCTGTACTGTAGCCACAAAACTCAAGCACTCGCGCAAGTTGAAGTCCCCAAGGCTTTGTTTTGATGATCGCTGTCATTTCGTGGTGAGGTGTCAAGTTGAAGTGCGATAGCATGACTTGACATGGATCCGCAAGATGCACTAGGACAACAAATTCGTTTCTTCCGAATAAGTTGCCATTGTGTGCAGGCATTATCAATAATTCCCACTTGTACCGAACAAGTCGGATACAATGATCCGCAGCCACTGATGTCCGGATGTTTGCGGGAACCGCTAGTATTGCTGGGGTCTTACGAATGATGTGCAAGGCTAATTCCGTGACCAAATAGAATCGAAGCAAGGAAGTTGGATCATGGCGATCTCTTCTTTCGACTAGCATCAAGCCTCTTCGACCTTTCCCATATGTCAACGGTGACTTCCCGCTCAAGCATAGATGCCGCTAGTAATCTGTCTCAAACATGGGCATGACAGTCAAACAGATATCAATGAGAAATTCCGCACCTTGCCACCTTCATCAAGTGAATAAGATCGTCCGCTGTTATAGACGAGTCTTCTTGGCGTTGACGCACAAAGTCTTCTTGAATGTGCTGCTTGAAAGTCAGCCATGTAAGACACGGTGTCCGATATCGCACACACCCGCGACGTCTCCTCTGCAACTTGGACAGTTCCAAAACAACATTTTGCGGTTGCCAGGAACGAACGGTATGCCGCCAGCTTCACAGTATCGGGTATCTTTATCTGGTCTCTCGGTTTATACAGATTGTCCTTGAGTAAGGGTTTTGTTTCCAGAGGTACGGTGAATCCCGTCTGTCGTGGAAGAGGCATGAGCAAGTGGCTTGGAATTATAATGAAGGCCGGTATCTGTGTTACCTGAAAGAAGGCACTTTTCCGACCATCACATAGCACAATCGTTACTATGTCTGTCGAAAATGAAAATTTACTGAATGGGAATGAGTACTCGAGTGTTTGAGCATCCATGACTTCCTGTACAGCCCTGATGTTCATGATGCCTGCAGAGCCATATCAACATAAGATGTTAAAGCCAGAAGGTACCGTTGGATTTGATACCTTTTTCTACAAGCTTGCCCTCTCGCACACCATTCTCGGTTAGCAGTAAGACGGTCCCTTGAGGGACCTGCAGATAGCCCGAGTGCAAATCTTCATCCTTGCTTTCAGGACTGAAATTTTCCGTGTTAAGAAGATCCAGGGAGAGGGGCACTGTAAGATACTGCGCTAGCAAGTCCGAAAGTACATGGTGAAGGGTAGGTAGTGCGGGCGATGACGGTGTGGGTGAAGGAAACCGCGATAAAGTGAGGGACGGAGGTAGGAGGGGCGTAGTCCGAGTGTAGCTGTATCTGGTATGAGGCGAACTCGTTTGATAGATAAGGCAAAACTGACACTTTTGCGGAAAGCTCGAGAAGAAGCCATTGTGCTGCATCTTCATCGCCTCCAAGGGCCTCGTCGGCAATCCATTTGATGAGATCTTCTCGAACAGTCGCTAACTCTTCTGTGTGCGGCGCGTCACCTGTAGATTGCAGTTTATGGCACAGAACATGAAGTGATGGAACCATCGGTGAGGAATCAGCTTCTGAATCAAGACTACACCAAATTGAGCATCAGTTGTAAAGATGGTCTGTGCACTCACGACTCAGACGTCAAAATTCCGATAAACGTCACGACGTCAGTAGCTTTGAGTAACTGAGCGGCATCATTGTCATAAATCTAACAAGTCACGAATGAGTCGAATTTTTGGTGAGTCATGCGTATCTACCTTGACTTGGACGCCGATATGGGGCGCATTTGGCACGGGAAACTTATGAGGTTGTGGTGGACTTTGACTAGAAGAGCTACCTGAGAAGGTCAGACTTGAGCACCTCAATTCATCACGCCGAACATACCACAATGCAATCGGTCAGTCAACTCTTCTGTTCTCCAATCAGTCTGCCCTGGCACCGTCACGGCCCATAAAGTAGTAGCCTCTCTAAGGTCACAGTAATCGAAACTCGAAGGCCATTCACTAGCAGGCGTGTTCTGTGAGATCCCCCAACCACCACATTTATTTTCGTTCAAGCTCGCGAGATACATCTCCGGTGAAGGAGAAGTGTCTTGTACCATGCCATGAAATCGCACCAAAGATCTATGTGTGAATGATTCAGGGGAATGGTTCATATCCAGCGGAAGGACCTAGTAGCATCAGGATCAATAACGATAGTATCACTGCAAAGATTCCATAGATCCCAACCTCGCGAAGGGTATCATCGGAATTTAGAAAGACATCCGAAAAATGGCGAGCGACGACAGCGGGGAATTGATTGACATCTCCGGTGTGCTCCTCAAAAAGTTCTTGGACTACTTTTGTAGGATTGTTGATAGCATCTATGAGAAAAGCGGATACCATGATGAATAACGCAACACTGGTTTGCGGCGGGCGCGTTTAGGTTTAGTACTGTTTCAGCGACGCGCCTCCACGCATAGCCGTTTGATGTTACCTAAGCATTCGGCTACATCATCCGTGGCTGCGCCAAAGCGACTTGCACTACCACGACAACCATGCCTCTCTTCAACCGCTCAAAGAAGCGTGGTGACTCCTCCGACAATGGCCAAGATCAGGACGGAGGGCGTAAGAAGGAGAAAGGAAGCTGGAGAAAACCAGCAAGTTAGTCCACCTGCTCAAGAAAGCTTGGGAAGACTCTGACGTCTGGTTATTACGCTAGATACTGCGTTCAAACAGCAGCGTCTCAAGGCGTGGCAGCCTATCTTGACGCCGAAAACTGTTCTCCCAACTCTATTCATTATTGGGATCATCTTTGCACCAATAGGTGGCTTGTTGGTGTGGGGTAGCAGTCTTGTGAGTTCTAGGTCAGCTCGTGCTTTTCACTATCTACAACTGTGATCGAAAAGGTATCGGAAATGACGTTCGACTATACGACTTGCTGGAATCAGTCAAGTTCAACGTCACTAACCAACCTCACCTTCACGAGCATGCCCTACACATATAACCTACGATCATCAGACTCAGGCAAAACAATCACACCTCCCACATTCGCTTACTACTATAATGACCTAGCACCGGAGGACCAGAAGCATTCATGCTACATCGATTTTACCGTCGTATCGGACCTGGCTGCCCCAGTGTTCCAGTATTATAAGCTCACTAACTTCTACCAGAATAACCGTCGATATGTCCAGAGTTTAGACACCTCTCAATTGCAGGGCAGCTATGTCTCTCCGAGTACTCTCAGCGGTAGTAATTGCGATCCTCTTAGCGTCAATGCGGACGGAAAAGCTATCTACCCCTGCGGATTGATCGCTAACTCCGTTTTCAATGGTGCGTCTCACTGAGCACAACACAGTGTCTGGGATTCTGATGACCTAATGTTGTACAGACACCTTCTCTGGGTTTGCATCGTCAGACAACTTCTTTTATAATTTCTCACAATCCGGCATCGCCTGGCCCGGCGAGGCTAAGAAATACAGCGCCACGTCGGGTTACACCAATAACCTGGATGAGGTCGTACCTCCTCCGAACTGGGTGCTGCGCTACCCAAGCTACCCCAACGCTAGTTCCATACCAAACCTGCAAGAGGACGAGCACTTCCAGAACTGGATGCGGACGGCGGGTTTGCCGACGTTCACTAAACTTTATGGGCGCAACGACACTGCCACCCTGCCTGCGGGCCAATATCAAGTCCTTGTCTATATGAGTATGGTCGTCGTTACTGTACCTGCTTCTGTTCCTGACTGTTGTGCTTGCTTTCAGACTATCCGGTTCAGGGCTACAAGGGAACAAAATCCCTCGTCATTTCTACAGTATCTTGGATAGGTGGAAAGAATCCATTCTTGGGTTGGGCTTACGTTGCAGCATCGTGTGTCTTTGTGTTCCTTGCATTAGCGGGCACTATCCGACACCTTCTCAAACCGAGGTATGGTTCTTTTTCATGTATCATGGGACTATGGCTAAATGCGCTGCAGACGTTTGGGAGATATGACACTGCTGTCTTGGAACCGATAGAGCATGTTGGATTTTACGAACACTCGTATGTACCGGAGGGTGGCCGATTTGACCCTGTAATATCATTCCATGAACCTAACCCGCTGCACATCATATTTTATCTATTTTATGGACTACGGTGAAGGGGTATAGCCGATGCCGTCGCAGCTTATAATGACGAAACCTGATGGATTCTGCTGGAGATGAAACGTAGCGCCGGTCATTTGTTCCGCTATTTTTATTGCAGTTCTGTGGGTGGAAAGATTAGAATCAAGGTAGATTCATGTCGAAAATGCCACCTCACATTGTGTGATCTGTGAGAGGTCCAGTCTTGATTGTCGAGCGGCCCTTTGCTAGAGCTATGAAGATGATAATCTGGTCCTGAGGTTCAAGATTTAGCGGACTGAACTCCAACCGAGGAAAATCTCTGACCTGTAGATGCTCATCGACGCATCCATCATGACGAAGATTACGAAGGAGCTCCTCTGCAGCTTCTTTTCCAATTTCCTCTGGATCCCTACTCTTCGTCGAAACTGAAGATCCGCCTATCACGCACCCATTGTCAGTCTCAGCGAATAGTAAGATTCCCCCTCCACTGCCGAACGCCTCTTCCTGAGTTTCTCTGACCGCGTCAATCCGGATAATAGTAGGGGAAACAGCTGCGGCGATTAGTGTAGCACACGCAGCGTTTTTGATGCGTTCGGCAATGATGAAAGGAAGCCCTCCGACCCGTGCTTCACCTCTGATGAGATGAACAGGTCCCCTCTCTGTGAGGGTCACTGGAGGAAGCGCTTCTGTGAGGGAGGGAATACTACAAAACACGGCTCCGCCTCCTTTTGGGAAGTAACCTCGTCGTATAATGTTGAGCGCGATGTCCAGGCCAAAATGCCGTTTCATGAAGGGCAAGAAGACATGCTGGGTATAATCTATCTGAGGAGCTTGGATTGCATTTGTCCCTCCGTGAAGAGTTAGTTGGGAAGGCGAAGTGGGCGAAGACGAAAATAGTAAACACGGCAAGGAGACTTGGAGAAGCAAGGTTGTCGAGCCCGCTGTTCCGGGATCAGCAGTTAATATTTTAGGTAGTTCTATTTTCCCGGGTTTGAAGGTGACGCTGGTCGATGACAAGTGCACGCCCTCTGTTTCGGCTGAACAGATGGCGGCTGCAAGAATGATCCCTAGAGTCCGCGTTAGCCACACTGATATACGAAGCTAATGGTACATACCTGCTTCATGCTGTTTTCGGAGGCCCGGAGGTTTTCTATTATGGCGAACGTTTGGTATGGATATTGGTTTTGACAATAGTGCAGAGAGAGCGACGGCGTTGCGAAGGATCTGTCCACCACCTTCACAAAAGCTTCCATCAATGTGCACCAGATTATGCGCGATGGTGGAAGTCATGATTGTGTTCCAAATCGGGGTAGTCTGTTGTAATTGGTCCGTGCACTAGTTGAGAAGATATAAAAGGGAGCTGTGAACGAGGTGAATCCTTACCACTCTGGCCTTTTGGCTTAGATCAAGTGTAGTATCTGTTCTTAATAGTTTAACCACTATTATGAGGGCACCGCCCTCATTCTTTGGTTATCAAATTTTTGCCGCCCTTGTTCCTTCGAGCTCTGCTTGCAACTCGAGAGACATGATGACCTTGCCACTGCACTACCGGCCTGCGTCGTCGGGGGTTCTTTTTTCCCAAACTCTTTCTCTTTGTGGAGTGACTTCTGCTAAGTCTCTTTGACTCTGCATGGTGCTTTGCAAACAGTATGGGTCTTGGTTTTTTTGTAAAATTGAATGTCATTTTTTGTCTATGACTGTCCGTGACGAATTAAAGACTTTGCATGTGCAACGAAGGTGTAGGTAATGCAGCCTGGGGTATGTTCCTCCAAATTAGATACAGAAAAACTATTCATATGTGCAAGCGGTCGTGATGAGGAGGTATCACCTTTCAAGTCCGGATCCAAGCTAGATGACCGCATGAGGCTTCAACGTAAGAGCACAAAAACATACACCCACCGCGTTTCGTTGTCGCGGGAGCCATGCAGTGGGAGCAGGCTTGCCTTTCGACGACGGATTCGATGCGTTTCGAAGCTTCACCATGCCTTGGTTGAATATGCAGCTGGACATCAGCGCTTGCTCTTTGCGGCGTTGCTTCTCGAGATCGACCCGCATCGCCTGCAGGTGTTGATTCGTGAGCTCCGACCAGACAGCTAATGATACAAAGTTCACGTACCCTTTCGCGTTGAACTTCCTCCTTCAAATCTTTGATTTGAGTCTGGAAGCTTCCTTCAGCCTCTTCGAAAGAGGACTGCACGATGGTTTAAACATCAGAACATCGATGAGTCAAGTAGACCTAAACTCACCGTCGAACGGCCACCGAGCTTGGCTTGCTCCTCCTTGAAAAGCTTGTCCTGAGACTTGATAAACTAAGAGCTGGACTGAGCGAGCGACAATCATCTTTGGCCGTATCACGCACCTGCCGTGCTTTGGCGAGCTTATCTTGAGCAGTCTTCAATTGCTCCTTGATAACCACGTTGTCTTCATGCAAAGCTAATAACCTTGCCTTGACGTCTTCTGGCACATCTTTGCCAGAGACCGATGCTCGCAAGTCACTGGTAGCAGTCAGCGATGCAGACCACCATCAACAACTGTAACGACCTACCCAAAGATTCGCTCACGCTGGATCATCTTGTCTCTCTGACCAATACCGTCGCTCTGCAGGTTCGCTTTTTCTAGCAGGAGCCCATTGACCTGCTCCAATAGCATCTTATTCTTTTCGTTCAGCTCCCTAATCTGGTTCTTTAAACGATTCATATCAGCTTCCATGCCCGCCTTGTCTTCCTTGAGGGATTCTCGTAATGATGCAAGGATGTCGACCTGGTCCTTGTTTACAAGATTCACTGCGAAACACCGCCAGTCAAAAAAGAGTAGCATTTTCGAGATCCGAGGACTTACGATTCGATTTAGCAATCGTTAGCTCCCTCTCCTGAGTATCAAAAGCGACTTCAAGCTCGGCGTGCTCTTTTCGCAAAGAATCTAACTGATCGACTGTCTCGTTAAGACGTTGTCGTAACGCAATTGCAGCTTCTGGCCTGTGAACGGTTTGAATCGGCTACTTGTATAGGAGAGATTCACCTACCCATCTCCTAGCGCTTTACCACTCCGTATTTCCTCAAGGTCGCGTTGCAATACCAGCTTTTCTCGATGTGCGGTCATGTAATCCGCTTCGTACCGTGCCTTCATCCTATTGGCATCTTCTAGCAGGTTCTGCAGGACAAGTATATGGCTGGTATCGGCTTCGTTCTTCTTCGCTGATTTCAACTCCCTTTGCAACTTCTTCACCTGCAACTTCAAATCCGTCATCGTCGTCCCTGTAATGGCATCGTCTAGCTCTCCATCAAGACCAAACGAGTTGCCCATGAGCTCTTCTTCAGTGAGTTCATCGTTGTTCCCCAAAGGCTCTGTCGCTTGCGTCTTCGACGTAGTGGGTGCCCGATGCGAAGTGAGTTCCATCTCGCGCATACGTTCCTGATAGAGCTCCAACATCTCGGTATCCTTCTTGCGCTCCTCGGTAGTAATCTTCAACTTCGTACGGGCTTGTTCCAACTCGAACTTCACTGTCTCGATATCTTGTGAGCGTGTTGAAACCCTTCCTTCAAGTTCGGCTATCTGGTTTTTATAAGATTCTAAGAGTGGCCTGAATGCGGCAACCTTGCGGTAATCCTCCTCAAGCGCTGCATTCTTGTCGACGAGATCGGCATTTTGTGCCTCCAGCGACTGAATGGCAAGTCATTGAAGTGGTCGACATGGTTACAACAAAGAACAAACCTTGACGTGTTGGCGAAGATCAGCGCCCTCCTGGAGTTTCTTCTTATACTTCTCCATGACATTCTCTGTCTTTTGTAGTCTATCGGCTGCATGGCGATATCTATGTATGTTGAATACCAAGGTCAATCGGTGATTGAGATAACACACATACTCGTCTACTTGGTCTTTGAGGCGCGCAGCCTCGTCAGCTTTGACCTGCAACTCGTCGATTCGCCGTGTAAGGTCAGTCACCAACAATGTGTGCTTGTCGAGCTCGGCCTCCGCCATGGCGAGATTGTCTTCGCTCTTTTGGCTAGCACCTCCGCAGTCATAAGACGAGATCTAACTGAATGGTTCGAACATGTACTCACAGTTCAGTGCGAAGGCGCTCGACCTCGGCGCGCATCATTCCATACGCATTATCATTGCGTCTGCTCTCAATGCCCCTTTGTGCTTCACGTAACCGTGTCAACGCATCATCCTTTTCAGATATCATATCGTCGTAATTTGTTTGTAACGTCCTGTGTTCTTCAAGAAGAGCCTGGTAGACCTTCTCTACAGTCTCCTTCTCTGAAAGGATCTGGCTCCTTTCAGACTGTATGAGGTAGTAATGATCGTCTCTGGATATCCCATCAGTGACTAAAGCCCATTCTTCACAACTAACGACTGACTCTGTCATGCTGGCTTCTCCAAAACTGATATCCTGCGAATCACTGATCTTGCTTATCACCTACACGCACGCATCAATAATGGTGAATATTCCATGCGTGCAATCAGCATACCTGCTCAATAGCCTTCATCAAAAAATGCTGGTCCCCCTCACTCAACTGCTGAATTCGGGCGATGATCTCCTTATTCTGCTCGCACTGCACCGCGATCGCGATCGTTATCCGACACATGATAAGCGTCTCGCCGACATCGCGGTCCTTTGCAATCGCCTGCAAGTCAGGGACTTCGAGACCGCTCGTAGGTTTCTGCAAGACTTCAGCAAAGTACTGCGTAAGGAGGCGATAGAGACGCTTTAGTGCGCTGAACCGGAGAACCCAATTATCGGAGAGCTGTGTGGAGGACCTGCTAGACTGCCTGAAGTACTCTGCATCTCTGACGGCGAGTTTAGTCTCTTCTTGCAATTAATTACAGATGAATATGACGTGAGACATACACTAGAGCGAGAACATCGAAGAGTGCGGCCCCATCGCTGAGGTCGGCGACGGTGGTGATTGGCCGGGCTAGGTTGAAGGTTGCGAAGAAAGAGATGAACGCATTGATCTCTCTTCTTTCCTGCTCAGACATGGCTGTCAGGATTGCGAGCCGGTGGTTAATGCAGAATCTGCTCTCCTTAGGAATTAATTATGAACGATTTTCATTGGCTGAATATAACACATACCGCTCGGACTTTAAATTGACAAGCGCTCAGCCCAAGCTCAGTCAATCGAAATCGTGGCCTCAGGGGTTGTTATTGTCTTCGCCCACACCCGTTATGCCTTTGGGCTTCTTGGTGGTGCAGTGGTGCAGTAGACTATTCCCTCTAACTACTGACGCGAAAGTGTACGTTCTCACGTTACTATGTAGTAGTTGTCACTCAGATACTGCCTTGCATTCTTACGTTCTGTTAGAACATCAGACACAAATAGGCATGCAAGGTCCACCAGAACGAGAAACCATGCAACAGTACAACACCATTGTAAACTGTGCGACGGTACTTACACGATATGAATGTCTGTGCACCTCAGCGTCATATGATTCAATGAATAGTAAATTATTGCCATAGATGTACGCTACATACGAGCCGAGTAGTATGTTGTAGCCCCTTAACCCCTGTATAATTTCGAAAACCAAAGTGTTGAGCAGAGTAGCGCCACTGCAAAGAGATAAAATACTCTTCCTTCCTTCATGGGATCGCCATTTGCAAGAAAATTGCGCAGCGGAAGAAAGATCAGACCAACGACAAAATTGCTCAACCCTTGAAAATTGAAGTAGGAGACGAACTTTCGAAGGCACAAATGAATACTTACAGTTCAGCGACAGACCCACTGATGAGATGGCGGACACAGCCTGCATGGGGTCAGTGAAGGAGCTATGCACTTCGTGGAATAACTGACATGGGGTGGTGCCACCTCGGGGATGATGACAAACGGAATAGGACCTAATCCGAAGGCAAACGACCTTCAAGATAACATAAGTTGCGTAGAAGAATTAGATATAAGCCACGTACATGACAAAAGTGGTGATTGCGATACTGGACAAAGTCACGAGGCCGCTATTCAGCCCATAGCCAACAGCCAGATGAGACAGAAGAGCGGCAGCAACTGATAATTGGATTAGTTGTTTCCTGCCCACTCGCTAGGTACCTGTTAAGTTGCTGCAGATACTTGAGCATGACTAAACTCGCCTCAATAAGGAAGATAGGCGGAAAAGTCATTAAAAAGTTGACAATTGTGATTCCCAGCGAAACATATGATGCTAGTTCGGGAAGGGATTTAGAGAGTATATCGTTACTGTAGTACAAGACTTTGGTACATTGAGAGATGTTATATTGTGCAAGTGAGTGCTCTGCTTACCTGCGTTAATTCCTGATATTTGTTGGGATGTCATGGCGGCAATAATTGTCAATAGAGGCCGGCGAAGTTCAGTAGAGGCAAACAATTGAGGAATAGTCATTGCAGGCTGGCGGACAGCTGAGTGGCGTTCTGTAGCGCTATCACTGTCTGGTAACAGAGGTTCCTCGCTGTCTTGTTCTTCAGCTAAAGATACGATTAGAAATTGTCTCGGTAAGTTAGTATCTGCTCACGATCTGTACGCGAGACATCATGAATTTCGCCCCACAATCTGTGAATCGTTAACTTCTCTTGATCTACCAGTCCCTTTCTGTTGAGATACGAAGGAGATTCTACGACAAACGGGCTGCTGAAATACTGGAAAATGGATATCCCCGATGAAATGAGCAGTACAAAACGCCATTGTCGGGGAGTAGCAAGACCGAAGCCCATTCCTTGGGTGACCATTATACCGATAACTATAGCCAGCTGTGTTAGAACGCCTAACGAGACAGTCGGTCAATATTGCTGGTCATTGATAAACTAAGAAACAGCACGAACCCAAGTTTCCCCTGATTTTGACTGGTGCTATCTCAGACAGGTATATTGGACAAAGACAAATGCCTAGGCCAGCTGCGAGACCAACAAGAAATCTGTGGGTGTGGGAGGTTGTAGCGGATATTGCTAGTATGAAGTACATACCTGCCAAGAATCAGTGGACCTACGGAAGAAGACAGTCCAAATACGGCTGAACCAACAGCTGTGAGCACAGCGCTGAGACGAGAAGCACCTTTCCGCCCGTAACGGTCCATAACAATGTTAGCACTCAAACTGCCAAAGAAGCCTCCCATGGTGTACATGGACGTCACTACAGAGAATGTTGCGTCGGACATGGGGATACACGTGGGTAGACCATAGTACATTGGAGCAGTTGGATCAGCGATTTTGCACGTCAGGACAGCTTGTAGCTGATTCAGAGCGGACGTGTGATAACCATACTTGTACAAAGACGTGAGCAGGGCATAAACTTCAGTAGGGAACATTATTGGGTAAATACCTGAAACGAAACAGTGAGGACCCATAGACATACGAGCCAGCCGTACTTGGTAAATGTTTGAGCGCCCTCAGAGGTCATCTGAAACTTATGATGACAGTAGTACTAGTACAACTGCCAGTGCTTCACAGCTGCTGCCGGCAGCTGTCTCGAGGTTTCTCACGTATTACTGACATAATAATGTATTAAAACGTTTTAAATGTAATCCCTAATCGGCACAATACACGTGACACGACGTACGTCGTACTGCGAACCACCCGTGACTGTGTTTCAAATTCATCCCTAGGTGTACACTACTACCTAGCACCCGCCCGCTGTTTGACACCAGGCTTAAAGCCACCTCTTCCATATATATGCTACAGTAATGAGCTTATCGAGAAACTGCACCGCCCGTTCCTGTTACGAACATCCGGCAAGCCAGTCACACACTTACTAACTTGCACCCGATGCACTCAAGTATCATTGTGCACCCAGCGCCATCTATTCTTCTGGTATCGCGCCTTCTCCAACAATGTCTTACTATCCAATGTTACCCACAGTCTTTCCGCCTGCGCAACAGATCATGACACCTCAAGTTTTTACCCTCCTACCGTGACTCGTGAGTGGCACTGAGTGCCTCATCCATTCTGGTATCTTGTTGCACCTCTGCCACCGCATAGTTCACAAAATTTCAATATATTTATGTCCTATGATATGAATACATGTTTCGTTTACTTCTATTCTACTCCTGAACGTGCCTGCGACTTGGTGAAAATAACACGCCACATGAGTTGGTGAAATTTTACTTACATAAACCAAATTAGGAAGCCACCCCAATGGGGGATCATCGATCATCGATTAAGCCTTAAAGTTTGAGGCTGAAACTGACCAACTGCTAACCTTTTCGGTGTGGACTATGTGAGCTTCTAGGCATCGCTACAGTACATACTCCAGTAATGTTGCAAAGCATCGTGCACTCAGGGTCGAAGTACGGTATGTAACGTCTGTGAGAGATGACTTGTTTCACTGACATGAACTAAATTTTAGCCTAGTGACGTTACGACTCTAATGCCATCATTGATGCTGCCAGTGCTACCTCCGCGTTCTGATGGACTTTTTATGATGAATCCGGCGCCGCAATGACCTGAGCTGCCGGATTGTTTGGAGAAGATATGCATTATTGTGTACGTAGTCAAGCTCAAGCTTTAGATTACCTCCGGAGGGCCACATGATCCATTCTGATCATTCTAGTCGGTCATTTACTTCCACATGATGGTGATTCGGTACCTTCACGGTTCCCAGTTCGGGCAAGCCGCACTACTAAAATTTGATCAGAACGTTAGAATTCCACTTTCCTCTTCCCCCTTGCCAACATAGCTGTGTCCCACACGTTCAGCCCGACCTTCGCTCTCTTTGCCTCGAGCTTCGTTGGCTTCTACGCTCCTTATAACTCACGCTCGTTTTATTTCGTATCATGTCACATACTGCATTTCTCGCAGCTGCTATTCTTGCATTTGCCTTTCCTTATGTTTATGCCGCCACTTCCGACCAATGGCGAGGTCGATCAATTTATCAGTGCGTATCTAACCATTTCACCAAGTATCTGATTGATTAATTTTGTAGAGTCATCATCGACAGATATGCTTTGCCCGAAGGTGCTGACCCTAACCAATGCCCATCGGGGACTCGTACATGGTGTGGTGGGACCTGGAATTCGTAAGCACCGCGAGCGCTCCGAGTCATTCTTGCTTCATACTGACTTCCCACAGTCTTCGCCAGAATCTAGACTACATCCAAGATGCAGGTTTCACCGCAGGTGCGTGCAACTTCACTCGTAATCATTAAGATGTCTGACTTGATATTTCAGTCTGGATCAGTCCTGTTTCCCAAAACTATGAAGGTCCGGCTACGCCATATGGAGACCCCTACCACGGATACTGGATTGCGGATGCTTCTCAACTCAACTCTCGGTTTGGCACGTCTGACGATCTCAAGGGTCTTTCAGAGGAGCTGCATCGTCGTGGAATGTGAGTGCATTCACAGATCAGAATTCACATTGTTGAATCTTTCCAGGTACTTGATGGTCGATGTTGTTGTTAACGATGTCATGGCGACCTCGATAACCCCCGATTTATCTACATATATGTTCAAAGAACAGGTAAAATTACTCTTCCATGTGCTTCATACATTCAATTGCTGAGTCATTCATACGTAGTCGCGATACCATCCATATTGTGCCATAGATTGGAGTAACACCACTAGCGAGGAACAATGCTGGTTAGGCGACACCGTCGTTCCTCTTCCTGACCTCAACACGGAAGACCCAACTGTTGTTGCCGGGTTCGGTGACTGGATTCAGTCCTTGGTTAAGGAATACAATATTGATGGACTCCGGATTGATGGTGAGTGTGTTCAAACAGTTTTATGATCATAATATAACGACTTTACCAGCTGCGAAGTAAGGTTTCCCTCCATCCCCCCCACTCACACTAACTGAGGTGTAGACATGTCAATATCGACTTCTGGCCCGTGTTCTGTGGCAAAGCCGGTGTATTTTGCATAGGAGAAGTCTTTGGTTCAGATATCGAGTAAGGTCTCACCGGTCTGTCCTGCGCTGTTTAACACAGGTTTGTATTGCAGCGACGCTGCTCTCTACCAAGGATCCAATGCCCTTGACTCAATTCTGAACTATCCCATGTACACCGCGCTCCTTGATGCGTTCACCCTTCCTGGGCCACAGAATATGAGTGCTGTTGCAGATATGATTGGGCAGCAGGCAGCGAAGTTCAAGGTATGTGGTCCACACTTTTCTGTGAATGCACTTCAATGGTTGTAGGACCCCACACTTCTCGGAAACTTCATTGAAAATCAGGACATTCCTCGTTGGGCGAATATCTCTGTCGACCCACAAAGTTTATAGTAAACTCTTTCCTATATTGTATCCTGCAGATCCTAACTCAAAATAGCAACGCCATGGTGTTCAACTTTATGACTGATGGGTAAATTGCATCGTCGTGTTTGCTAACAAATCACTGACATGCGAGAAGTATACCCATTGTGTATTATGGTCAAGAACAAGGCTTCAGCGGGAACAGTGATCCTGTGAGTTGACCCTGCCATTTTATTTTGATGCACCTTAACATTGCCGCAGTATAATCGCGAGGCAATGTGGCCTTCGAAATATGCCAACAGTACAACATACCAACTCATAACCACATTGAATCAGGTATGCCATAGTTTGAATTTGAGGGCCTGATGTTAATCATTGCGTCTCACAGTTCCGCAATTTCTTGGTGAATAACACCCAATGGGCAACCACGCCGACGCAGGTGCTCACAACATCACCATACGGCATCGCAACCTTGAAAGGGGATTGTGTCTCCATCATGACCAATATCGGATCTCCCGTAAGTCCATGTGAACCTTGCAAATCTTTATCCCCGCATCTTCGATTTTTTTCTGATCTTACTATACCCTATTATTAGCCTCAAAACATCAGTATTCCCGTGTATACCCCGTACCTTGCAAGCGCATCACTCACCAAGTCAGCTGCTTCTCAAATTTAACTCGGACATCAGAACTCACATCGTGTTATAGTGTATTGACCTGTGAACAGTGGCCAGTGGGCAGCAATGGCACCATCAACGCACAATATAGTTTAGGAGGCGTGCCTCTTGTTCTCTATCCCACTACTCTTCTGCAGGATTCTGGTTTGTGCGGGAACTCGGACACCACGACAGGTTCGGCCACATACGTATCCTCGGCCCTGCGCATCCATCGTCCTGTCATATTTCTTTTAACTGTGTTGTCTTCTTTGTTGTTGGGCTTTTTGTCTTCTTTTTGGTGATGTTTAGGGACGCTAATGGATAAATTTTCATATTGACCGAAGTTTCTCACATCCTCAATCACTCTTGGGAGCTGTCTGGTGTGCCTTAGAGCAGGCATCGGTGATGTCAGGTAAGTTGAGTTGACTGGTATGTGGACCACGATTAAAATCGAAACGTGCAGGTATTCCAGGGTTAAGTGCGCTGTGGATGTTCTATTCGGATAGACTTGTAAACGTTTCCAAACGGTAAGTATGAATTCATCTGGCCAAGTGGTATGGTGCAGCACACAAGCTGGACAATTCGATCTCGCTGTTGGCCTGCTGTAAGTAGGTCAGCTGGACCCGCTCAACCGTTACACCAGAAGGTAGAATACTGAAAGCTTACCTTTAGTGACGGTATAATGCAGAGATTTCATGAGACGCAGTACCTGCCTATTCAGTTTAAGAGCAGAGTTCACTTGTATTACCACCTATGTACTAGCACCTTTTTCGATAACAGGAATTGTTTGAATTACCCAGGCCATCGAGCACAAGCTCTGGGCTGTTTCTGAGACATGATCCACAACAGTTTTTTGTGGTGACCACTGACCACCACTGCTAGACCTGGACAATTATAGCTCAAGTTAGACCTCGAGGTGGTCCGCGGTCGAAGTGCCGGAATGCCGTATTTGTTTGAAACCGAAGCTATGGCCAAACAAGACACATGTACACGATCTGTCCATTTGCGGCAATCAATGTTGAACGTTGAACTTCACAGCTAGGAGTCAACTATCAGGACTCGGAATCCACGAAGCTGTCATTCCCTCGACCGAACTCATCAAGCTAGCTAAGTCTGAGTGGAGGCTGTGCCTATTTGTATACATATCTTACTCCCGAAGGAGTATGCTGCTATCTGTGAGTGCTGCTGTGTCCAGTTACATTTCAGTAGGGCGATCAAAGATATTTGAGCTTCAAGCGGGCTATATCTCAGTGTCTCGCCTTCCACACTGACCACGTTTGAGGGCCACAGATCTGACGGTTCAAATTGAAATTTCAGGTTGTTTGTTTTCCACATCACTCCTTGGACCTCTCCTTAGCATCAGCATCAAGCTTGTCGACAAAATGTTTATCAATGGCACCCTCAAGCACAAATTCACTTTTCGGCGCAAGAGCGAGGGCTCTGCTTCCAGAGTCGAATTACCTGCGGATACAAAGCCTGTGATCGAGTCCAACTCGCCGACCGCAACATCTTCTCCTTCATCTTCGAAGGCTCACAAATTTCGCATTTTCTCCACTCTCACACACATCAAAAAGATGTCTCTGGCTAGCGTCTTCAAGAAAGGCCCTGTTAGTTCTCTTCTCAGTGTTATGCGCTACAGTCAACTCACTTGTTTTCAGTCGGTTCAAATACCTCCCACAGCGCTACCTTGTACAACATCTGCAGCTCCAGACATATCAAGACATGTCCTAGCTGTTTCTGAAGATGGTGTCTTACATCACACGATGCCCTTGGCAACAGAACATTGGGAGGGCGGTACAGAATTCGGGCTTATATCTTCCGCTATGGACAGATCCTCAGATCAGGAGGATACAAATCCCAATCCTCCTGGTAGTCGCATAGCAGATCGCGTTACCAGTTTGCGAATGAGAACTGCCGCAGTTTGGGCTAGCATTCCGGCCACCGTGGAAGGACTACCAGATTCATGCGCATCTAGTGAAACGTCTACTCCAGTCAAGTCCCAGATGAATTCCTTGGAGCACTATGAGACTACAACTGTCGCGTCTGCAACGGTGGACAGCCCATCGTTTTCGTCACCTGCTACTTCTGTCACGGCAGTGTCAGATTGGGGTCCGCGGGACTCTTTGGCCAATCTCAGCATGACAGGTTACAAACAAGAGCGGATACGCGTAATGCCAAAAGTATGTGTCATGTTTCTGGGTCAAAATCGAGGCTTATGTCATTGTGAAGGTCTTACCTGCGTTGGATGTTGTCTCTCTTGCACAGCTGCCAGAGCTGGGTTTGGCATATGCCAAACCTCCGTCTGAATGTCGGACGCCCAATGGGGACAAACTCGATCATACCCCCAGTACTCCTACATCTGGTTGGGAGTCATCCCCTGAGATACCAAGTAGCTCATCAGGACAGCGCGCAAGTTCGCGAGCAGCTGGACACCTGGACTCACCTTCTCCGAGCCCTCGAATGGCTCGTACTATACCAAGCACTGCCGGCTACCCCGACACTGCCAAGCGATCCTTCCATTGGTTACCAGTCGTGCAACTTTTCACGAATTCGGACGAAGACCTCGCAACGTCCAGCATCCGAGGCTCTCTTACTGATCTATTCCAGGGACCGCTTGCAGCGGAGATGCCCCTTCACCCATGGTCGTGCGCAAAGATAGCTTGTGCTGAAACCAAGCGAGCGTCTCGTAAGAAGCAAATGGACAAGGAGGGCTTCTTTACACGCATATCTCGCTTCTTGGAGGCTGGTCCTCAAGACAGTATTCCTGTCTCATCCAAAAGGTATGCCTTCACAATGTAGTCTTCCGCTTTGGAATCGATGCTGATAACTCGCACAGGCAGAAACACTTACTCAGGACTACATGAGAATTTCTCTCTATCACTGTTGCTTGTGTTTTTTATTCTCATCGTCATCCCATGGTATCACCTTTCATTGATGCGCTCTGGAGCACATTATCAGCCTAGTTTATGATACATCGCACACATCCATTTTCTATCCATCGCATAGTATTCATCGTCACGTTCTCTCGCTCTCGTTCTCGAGTTATCCGCTTTTTCATTGCAATTGGACCATAGGAAGTCGTGTTATCTGTCTACTTACAGCTCTGGTATACGGTACAAGACTACATTACCCCGGATCTGCAATTATCGGCTTTCAAATATTCAGGCTGCAGTGCAAACTTGAATTTAGTCATTGAGGCTAGGCTGTGCTGCGGGGTTTATATTACACACGTCACTCCGGATCCGACTCCACCTCTTGACCAGAACATGTCTTCCGGAACTACTGCACAAGCAAGTACACCATGAAGTATGTGAATCAGGCATTTGACATTCATGAATGTAGGACCCTACATGGAGATCGAGGGAACAAGGTGAAGAAGCACAATACATTCGCGAGAAGGCGAGGCTTCCCAAGGGGCTACTCATCAATCATGGCAAGCATTACTTACTGGCTTTCTATACACAGGAGCAAGCTCAGCTCGCTGCTCTCCATGAGGAGCAGGAAAAGCGCTCCACTACATCTAATAACAATACCACAAAGGATGCTGCATCATCCACCAAGGACCGTGATTTTGAAGGTGGCTTTGGTGGCCAAGAAGATTTGGAAGATCGGTACGCAACAACTAGCGGAGAGCACTAGCTTGGGCCTAGCATTACAGGTATTGTTGAACAAGCATAATTAAGCGTATCAGAAGTACGAGCAACACGAGACACGATAGGTGAAAGAAAATGATAGCTAGGATGTTATATAAACGGATGTCGGTGTATGTCCTATGTATGCCCGCGGAATATGTAATGGGTCCGTCAGACGTGTAGGTAGGATTGAAAGATAGTAATACTGTCAAAAGGAAAGATACGATATAAGTAATTGAAGTTCAGTTTGAATATAACACAAGGGGGTTGGTTATTCAGTAAGTCAACTGATGAAATCCATCGTTTTACCGTCCTCCAGATCAAGTAGCCCAGGAAAATCCAATATTAGTAGTCCAGTCAAATTCACAAGAAGAAAAGTTGTCCCATCCCAAAATTAACGAGCAGCGTTATGATTGATGACGAGCGATGGGGGTGATGAGTGGAGCAGGAACCGCTCGAGCGGCAGCTCCACTGCTACAAAGGGGTGAAGGTGGTGCGGCGGTCCCAATCCATGGATTGAGATAGCTGCACGATGCAATACCAACCATTCCACTTGCAGTGTCGGAGGGATTCTCCCAGCCATCCCCAGCACTGGCAGTTTTGACAGCATGACCAGAAGAGTACGTGAATGTAGGAGGGGGAAGGGTTGCCACAGTTCCCGTGGGGGTATAGGAAGGCAACAAGGAGACAGCACCGGCATTACTGATCTGAGCAGGCGGCCAGGTGTACGATGAAGTAACGGCTGCAGCAATCTGGCCTGCACCTGCACCCCCCGTTTGCCATGCTTGGAGAGGAGGACTCCATATACCTTGATTTGCGCAGGTTCCTGATGCAACGCGAGGGTCTGCAGGCATCCACCCATTCTGCAGACCAAGCTGGTACGACCATTGCGGTGACTCAACGACACCAGAAGTAGAAGAGTTTCCGATTTTCCATGTCCAGAAGAACCAGTTCTATGGACATTAATTCATATGGAACCACAACTTCTAAAGATGATCGCTTACCTGCAAAGCATCCATGCTGGCCAAGGCGAATTGCTCAATGCTTGATTTCATGGTCGAGTTCCAACCCTGCCAGTCCGTCCATGGCGTGCAGCTCCCTATGACAGGCCAGGTTCCTGGAGTATATGTACCCTCATAACGTGTTCCAAGTCCCACACCGTTCAGATAAAGACCGCAGTCAGTAACAGCATTACTGAATTCTCCGGCAGCTGTGAACCCGAATGCGTTCATGGAGGTGTTCATCATGCCACCCCAGGTAGTGCATGGAGTCTGAGCGTAAGATGACATAGGGGCAGAAGACTGGCCGTCAAAGCAGATATAAGGATGGTCATCGAGAGCAATGCGATCTGCATTCGGGAGCCAGCCGGCCCATTGAGGAAGACCGAGGAATCCGTCGTGATAGGAAATGAAGGGACCATTGCCTGCCCCAATGCCCGAAGCCTCGCGGACGTTATCGTATGCCTGCATATAGCTGCAGTGCAAATTATGTTACCGTTACCGAGTGCGGTGGACCACAATCATTAATACACTTACTACCGAGAGAGAGCATCCTGGCCGATCGGGGTTCCTTGGGGCTCGTTTGTAATGCCGAAAATGATAACAACATCCTGGTACTCAGGCTGAGATATGAACTCGGCGAGGATCCGAATATAATCTAGTGATCGCTGGGCATTTGCGATACCCATTGGGCCGTAGAGAACGTTTATTGACCCGAACTTGCCGGAGTGATTCCACCCATTCTGGCTTCCAGGAAGGGCATGGAAGTCGAGGTTAATGCGAAGACCATACTTACGAGCCCACTGAATGGCCTTTAAGAAATATCTAAAACTTGCTTCAGCAGGGTAACGGGATTGGAAGGATGATGCGGACATACGTCCACGAGGTCTTGGGGAGGAACGGTTCGCCTGATCGTACCTCGATCGCCCAGTATGGCAGGGGAATACGAACGAAGTTCAGTCCTGCTCCAGCAATTTCGGCAAAATCTTGTTCGGTCTGGTAACCGATTAACATCATCAGTTCCTTCACTTGCGACGTGCAGAAAAACTTACAATGAACGTTTGATAATGCGTTTCCAGTTGCGACAAACCGCCACCTGGTGATGTATCAGCGGCCATAGCTTCGCTCAGTGTCCACTCATCAATAGCTGTAGGATATTTCTGGTAAAGAGCGGGTGCGCTAAGATAAATATAAGTAAGGTTCATGGTTCTCAGCAGCAAAGATAGACTTGCATAAACTAGTACGAAACATTAGTACAGTGTATTAGTCAAACTGAGACCAACTCACGGGTTCCGTAGTAAGCCAACCACCCAAATTGACGCTATAAAAAACAATGGGTCATTGCAGGTACATGGAACGACAGAGAGAAGCATACCCAAAAATCTTATCAATGCCGAACCTGAAGGTCTGGTTGAGGGGAAGGGTCCACGACTGAGCCTGAGCATTGTTGTTGAATGGATCTTGAGGATCCCAATACCAGGTACCACCAAAAGGGTTCAAGTACGTGAATGTAGTACCATCCTCCATCGTGATGGTGCTGCCATTGCCACCAGTGACGACATCGGAGGCAGGTTGACCGGATGAAGAGGTCGAGGTGGAGGTGGGACTGCTGGGAGAGCCAGAGCTATTATTCGACGACGATGATTTTGGCTTGATCACGACGAAATATATAGGGACAACGATAGCAACGAGTACTATGGCAGCTGCGAGAATTGAGCCAGCTATGATAAGTCCGCGCTTTGACTTTACACGTGGGATTGCGTATGCTGACCGCTTCTCAGCAAGGTAACGAGGGGAGTTGAGATTCCCACCCTGACCAGAGCCAGAGTTGTACTCGGGGTCATTGGGATCATCATGGTAGGTAGCAGATTGTTCTGTCTGAGGAGTGTCATTATTCAAGGCGTAGACAGAGGAAGTAACGACAGAAGGTGCTGTTCTGAAGGTATTTTGAGTATTTTGTGACGCGAAGGAATCTCGATATCCATTGGAGGGATCGTCGTACAAAGCTGCACCAAGAAAGCGTGGTTGGGCTGCACCCGGGGGTGGGGTGTCAGAAAAATAAGACATTTCGACAGGCGGAGTGTCGAAACCGGAGGCATGGGGAGAGGGAAGATCGCTATAAACGGAGTCCCTGGGCGCATCTTGAGTCAAGGGCAAAGGATCGTAAGGAATATCTTGAGAGTGTGCGTTATTATTGGGATACATGGTATCGGGAGGAGGGGAAACGATGATTTCAGGCTGCGGGTCCTGGCTGTCCATGGATGGAAGAGAACGTTAGTTCGGCATAACAGAAATGAAGGAGAGCTTTATGTAAATGGCTGCGCTGAATGGCCTCATGGGATACGAATCTGATCATCCAGTAGAAAATAGACTTACTGTCTAGGGATAGTGGCAGTGACTAAGACAAAAGTCTAGTCAACGCCAGTTACACAGCAGGGATAGCTAAACGAGAGAGCTGAGAGGTAATGGTGGGGTTAGAAGAAGAACAAATACTCGGCCGCTCGCGGGACAGCCGGCGAGAACGTTCTCAGTCCGATTTGTGATACTGCCTCCGAGACTTACGAAACTGTCGAACTTGTCTTGCTTAAATTACCTGTCGTGAGGTCTGCTGATCGGCCGGGCTCGTTCAGAATTCGATGAACAATTCAGTATTATGGCAAGTTCGTTCAAAAATACCATCCAGTTACAGCCTTCTGGGATATCGAACCAAAGTACGCGCGCTATTACAAGCTAGCCTATCTGAGATTCGAGAATTTCTGCTGGAAATCTTTGAGAACGAACCGGACCACTCAAGAAGATGACTGGGACGCGGCTGACGACGAAGGAGGTATCAAAGTGTGCGACCTTGCCACCGATTTGCTTTATATTGCGACTCCCCATAGCTGTCTTGTGAATTCGAAGCATCGAATTTGCAACTTCCCTTGGTGAACCCATTGAAAACTATTTTCCTTCTATGGCAAGGGCAAACCTACCCTGAACCAATTGGGCCGCTCTTGGCCATAACACCACGTCACTAACTACTTGTATCCACTCGTGAACGTCTGCACCTGTGCGCGCAAGTATCACTTGGTCAGGCCCCGACGTCAAGGGACAAAACGGCACCTCCTATCTGTCCAGCAAGGCACAGATTTTTAAAAGGGCCTCTCCAAATTCGACATTGGGCGGCCCCAGGGACCTTACGAGGCAAGTCAAGATTTCCTCTCCTGTGCCATCTATGTTCATTCCGTCTAGACCGTGATATGATTGCGTTGTACATAATAAAAGGTGCGCAGTCGTCCAGCCTTAGCAGTCCGCCAGAAATTTAATGTCGTAATCTGTTATCAACAGGAGATCAGCACCGCAGAAGCCGACAGCTCTTCAAGCTCCCAAATTTCAAACCTTGCTAGTCGCCACCCTCAACTCACCAAATACGTCACATAGCCATAGCAGGTGTGATTCCAATCGCCGTTGATGCGCCCTCCTGAATGAGTTTGCTTATGTACACTGACCACTTTCACGGAGTTGCCCAAAATCAGTTTTCATGGTATGATAAAAAAGTAGCGCAGAAATTTGGCGTGTCAAAGCTGCCTGCATCAACATGCCTCTCACCAGACGGAAATCGTGTGCGTTTCAGAGTCTCATTACCTTCATTACTCAAATGAACACTCCCAGTGACTGCTGTCGGTGCATGTCGGATCCGAAATCAATACACTGCAAATACTCAGGATCATGACAATCTATAATAGGGGAACTCATTTCGAATGTCACCGGTCACATGTGAGACCCTATGACCTACACGCGCCCGGGCAGGCAGCCTTTGGGTTCCGGTCTAAACTTATGCTCGGCAGACGTTACCTCGTGTACTCTATAATAGCTGCGCACTTGGAAGACCCATCACACCCATCACCCACTTACGTGAGAGCTCGGACGTGTTGCAAGACTTTTGATGTGTTTCACATATATATGATAACATCGGTTCTCTTGATTTATTTCTTCGACAAGTATTTTCAGAACATTGCAATCACCTGATCCACCACACGATTCGGTTCCGATCTATCCGTGATGCAGCTTCCCAGGTAAGCACATCCACAGATCATCAAAGAGATATTTGTGTTTCCCAGTTCGCCGTGATTTCGGGTTGCTAAACTTAGCTATTGCAAGGACGGCATACTACATAGCCAACGGAAGCCGTTCGGATTGCAATCACTTATAAACTTATTGCCTGATCGATCTCGCATCGATCGTGCGCAATATGCCCAGTACTGTATCAGTTTTCTCCATCTGACGCTTTAGCTCCAACTATTCAAATTTCATCCACACAACAAGCGGTTGCTACAAGGAAGAGCAAACAAAGTTCCTTGATCGCCTTCTATACTTAGCCGACCCGAGCGGCCAAACGGTATTCTCGAGTCGCGGCGTGGGTGTGCACGTGGTAACACTCTCAGAGCTACCCTGTGCAAAGCGCATGTCGATTTTCACACCGACTGACTGGCACGTGCACGCACAAGTACTGTCGGCTGGCCCAGGAACGAGTGAAGCCAATGTGCTCATGACATAAGGAAAGGATCGACTGAGAAGGAACCACGGAATGCGAATCTGCAGTGCGAAAGACGAAGGGAGTGGGGAGAGGTCTGACACAGATTTTCGGGAGTGTTCGGCCAGTGCGCCGATCAAGGTCTGTCGCTGTCTTAGCATCATATGCTGATTATCTCACTTGCGGTGCTCGATCAATTCAACCTACAGCAAGACGCTCTAATTTGTCACCGACCATGAGCAGGTTTCAAATTTATATCGTTCATGACTCATCTTTTCTTCTTGTCTAAGGTACCCCCCGCTATTTTCCACTTCACCGCACCAAATTCACTCGTCGGTCACTTTCGCTGCTCTCGTCCTTCTCCAGCGATTAAAGGCACACTTTCGTACCGCTTGAGGATCTTTGGGTCACCGATTTTTGTGTCCACTCAGATCTGTTTTACACCAATGGGAGCGGTCTCCGTGGTCATATGCGGCCGCTGTGCCCGCGACACCCGAAGTCAATGGCGTGATACACTCGTTGGGATCCAACCAGTACAGTAACAATGTAACCAGCCAGAGCCCACATATGAGGAGAACTGTCCATGACATTTTAAATTGGCAATTGGATATATTCGTTAATGTGCTACATGAATACAATGTAGTTAACGGGATTGTGTGAATGCCAGCAGCGAGAGTGGTGATGAAAACAGTAACGAAGGAGACATCAACGAGGGAAAGACAATGACTAAAGGAACACGAGCAATGCACAAATGGACATGGTAACGAGGGGTGAACCGGGGGGAAGAAAGACAAAAGCTGGATGATCGTCCGGGGGCGGTGGGTTGTATTCTATATAAATTCGAGGCACGAGAACTAATTGTGTAGAATGCGCGAGGTCTATGTGGCGAAACAGTTTCTCAAGTTGTCAACTTCCTTACCTCGTACTAGCACCTGCAAATCCTCGACTGCTCAAATACACTCAGGCTCTCGTTTCGTCAGAACCATTACTAGTACAACCGCCTTCCGCTCTTTTGTAGCAGCCAGCGCCTCGTTTCATTCCATTAAAATCTTCGTTTTGTTGCTGGTAGTAAATGTACTTGACGTATCCGAGTCATTTTTGGCCTCAATTCTGCATCGCGAGTGCTGTGAATCATCCTGAACTTTCTCCACACGTTCGAAACAATCTTTCAGGTCGGAAAATCCTTCGGGTTTGAGTCCAAGCTAATCGATGGATATACGTGGAGGATTATATGTATGTGGTGATGTTAAGTGGAACCGAACATCTAGGGAAGAGTCTGGGTGTGCGCATGAATGACGGTGAGGTTGCCGGAACCGAGCAACTTGAAGGTCCGAGTCGGAGTGCTGACAGGTTCTCGCCACGTACATAGCGCCGTTCGATGTCCCGCAGCCAACGTAACGCTCCCTAAACCAGGACTGGCCCATCCGCATCAGTACTCAGTACTCAGTTCTCAGCTGATACCGGCCGGCCAGCGCATACTGCCCATGTTTATACTATCTCACCAAACCCTAGCCAGCGCACACGCCCGGAGGGTGCCGCCCACCAAGGGCCCATCTGTAAGCCTTACTGCAGTCTGCGCTCATGCAGTCATTTTTTACCAAGGCTAGCCTGATTCAGCCTAGTGCCCGTTGAGGCCTAGTACTAGTGTGTCTTTAAACACTCTCGGCAAGTCGATAGGCTTTTCGCTTTGAATATTATGTCAATGTATGCGATGCAAAAATTGGGTCGTTCGTTCGTTCAACGTCAACCTTCGCTCTGTATATCGTTGATGCGACTGAACATCTTCGTAGCTTATGCGACCCTACATGATGTATAATCACATCGAAAAGATGCAGTCTCCTTTTCAAAGCCTATAGCTAGTTTAAACACATATGGGCGCTAGTTGGCGAGCGAAGTACCTACTACATTTGTACATTGCACGGCATTTGACTTTACGCCTACTATAGTAGCACCGTCGCGAATGCTAGCTGGCAAATGTCCGGATTCCACGCGTTTCAACTGCGGGTCACTTGTGCCAACAATCTCATTATCGGGTTTGTGTTCAAGGCGACGTTCCTCCGTCGCACGATGTGGACACCATATATTCAAATAAAAAAGATTCAGTATGCTTCGATTGTACCTTCAGGCAAATATAAAGTGGATCCGAAACTTGGTCGGGTGCCAGCGTTTCCTTCGTTGCACTCTGCGGATCTCACTCGCCGGTAAGGCATGGTGCTCGCAAGCTTACTTTTGCTCGTCCTCGGCGCGATCGTGAGTCCGACCACCCAGGTCGCCGCACTGGGATCAGCATGTGGTGTGCCTCTCACTACAGGAAACGCGTTGTGGGGAGAGCCTTACTGGCTTGAGAACATCCACCATCAGGGTGTGGCACCGTTTGCACCTAATGCGACAAAATACAAAGTGTTCCGGAACGTGAGGGAGTATGGAGCTGTGGGTGATGGTGTGCATGATGATACTGCTGCTATCAAGTGCGTTGTCCTTCGCATCGATGATCTTATCCTAGCGCTCATTTTTTTTGTAGTGCTGCAATATCCACCGGTAGCAGATGTGGTAACTTGACTTGCGGTTCATCAACGTAAGTCACAACTTTTCCAAGATATCTAGTGCACCCTCAGGCTCGATGGCTCGTTAGAACCACTCCGGCAGTGGTCTACTTCCCAACAGGGTGAGTATCTGTGTAGAGTGCCAAGTTCATTTTCTGATGGGCTTCATCAGGACCTACCTCGTGTCTGCTCCGCTTCATGCATACTACTACACAGTCATGGTGGGCGATGCAAGAACACCCCCGACGTTGCTTGCCAGTGCTAACTTCACAGGAATAGCTGTAATTGGTGCGGAGCAGCCTCTTTAGTGTTATAGTACCAACTAACGGCGAGATCAGACGGTGACCCGTACACAAACAATCAAAACTGGTATACCAACCAGGTTAGCTTGTATGTATCTTTCGAATTTCATTGTATGCACGACATTGATGTCCTTTCATTATGAAAGCTACCGGTCAGCGCGTAATTTCGTTATCGACCTCACACGAATGCCTGCGAATGTCTCGGCCACTGGCATTCACTGGCAAGTCTCACAGTCGACGTCGCTGGTCAACGTGGTAGTCAACATGTCTACCGAACCTGGAAACAACCACCAGGGTATGTTTTTGTCGTGAATGATGTGATGATGTTCATTTATTCCTGTTCCTAGGCATGTTTATGGAGGATGGAAGGTAAGTGAACATCGCTATATCGACAAACATTATATATGAACATTAGCAAAGTGGTGGCTTCATGGGAGATCTCGTATTCAACGGTGGAAAGTATGGTATCTGGGTCGGAAACCAACAGTAAGTGTTTGCGTCCATGTTGCTTTTCAAGTCCCGTAGCATATGATACGTCTTCTCACAGGTTTACCGTGCGTAATCTCACTGTCAACAATGCAAACACAGGTAAGATTTATGATGTATGTCAGTATACTGGACCCATATCACTTCCCCCAAGCTGTGTTCGGATCATGGAACTGGGGTAATATTTGATCTTTTGTTGTGAGTGCGCAATTGATGAGGTATAGGATGGACATATCAACGCGTCATAATCAATGACTGTCAAGTCGGTTTTAATCTCTCAGGTGGCGGGAATGGAGGAGAGGCCATCATTGACGCAGTGGTCACAAATACTCCTGTTTTCATCAAGACACCCAAGCCGATAAATGGCTCTGTTTCAGGATCCCTCGTATTGAATAACATCCATCTCAACAACGTTTCCACAGCTGTCATGGAAAACGGTACTACTATCCTTGCTGGTGGAACCAGGACCGTTCACTCGTGGGGCAAGGGTAACATTTATACAGGAACGCACCCGAACGGAACGTTCACACAGGGCAAGATACACTCTGCGCATAAGGATTCGTGCCTTTTGGACCATAATGGCTTCATCGTCAGCAAAGGACATCCCATGTATGCTGACTATTCAGTCGACCAGTTCAAGAGCGTCAGATCATTGGGGGCCGTTGGAGATGGAATTGCGGATGATACTGAAGCTATTAAAGCCGTGCTCGCAAAGGTATCTTTACACGATGGTCTGACAATTTTTATGCTGATTGAAATGTGGGGCAGTACGCTGGATGCTACATCATATATGTCGATGCTGGCATCTATAAGGTTACTTCGACTATACAGGTTCCGGCAGGAACACGAATTGTTGGAGAGGCTTGGTCCCAGATTATGGGCGCCGGCCTCAATTTCAATAATAAAGAAGACCCCAACGTTGTTGTACAAGTCGGTACACCGGGTTCGCAGGGCATTACGGAGATTACAGATATCGTATTCACGACGCAAGGACCAGCTGCAGGCGCCATTGTCGTGGAGTGGAACGTCCACGATCCGCCTGGTCTCCAAGGAGCTGCAGGAATGTGGGATTCGCACTTCCGGTGAGTCCCTTTTGATCTTATTTGGAGTTTGTTCGCTGATTTGCATCTGTGACAGGCTCGGCGGAGGCGAGTTTAATGTTTTATCACATGCGGACGTTGACTTATCATTCTTCATTTTAGCCAATGGGACCCATCTCCAAGACGCAGAGTGCCCTGCGGGATCCTTTAATCCAGAATGTTTTGCAGCCTTCCTTGCTTTGCACATCACGTATGGTGCATCGGCTTACCTTGAGGTGCGGCGTTATGAACTTAGCAATAGTAGTGCACTAATTTCCAATTTCTTTCACCAAGGGAACATGGGTTTGGCTGGCAGATCACGATCTCGACGGCTTTCACCAGCTAACCTTGTTCAGCGGGAGAGGTATTTTGTCTCATTCTCAGGGTCCTGTCTGGATGATTGGTACAGGCGAGTTTGTCCTTCTAAGTACAAGACGGGTATACTGATTTCGCATAGCCTGTAAGTATCGTACCTTGGGTGTCACTCATCAATTCATAGATGTTCTCTACAGCGGAACATCATGTGCTCTACCAGTATAGTTTAGTTGGAGCGAAAAACCATTACATGGGTCTGATCCAGACTGAGACGGTAAGTTAATCCAAAGACGAAATGAGTTTACTTCTGATCTCTCTGCATAGCCTTACTTCCAACCTGATCCTGCACCACCAGGGCCATTCGATATCTCAAACGTTTACGACGATCCGACGTTTGCAAATGGCACAACTATGGCTTGGGGTCTCTGGGTGCAATCATCCACTGATATCATCGTGTTTGGTTCGTCTGAATCATGTGCTCATGTGATGCTTGTGTTTACGTGTTATGCATTTTTCCCAAAGGTTCCGGTCACTACAGTTTCTTCCAGGTGAGGCATAGCCGAAGTGAACTGGGTCGTTTCTAACCTTGCCTCTCACCAGAACTACAGCACGGCATGTGGGAGTAACACTACATGTCAAACGCAGATCGTCAATGTGGACTGGACCTCTTCCATCAGCATATACAATCTGGCAACCGTAGGGGACAAGATACCAGCTTAGCATCGAAGAGAACGGGATCATTTACTTTGCGAACGACTCGGAAGGCTTTTCGTCCACTGTGACGCTATGGAGCCCTGCGCGAGCTATCTACCCATAAATTTTATATCCCATAGAATCCATATACCCCTTATTTATTCTTCTTCGATCACAATTAGTGAGAGAGGCTCTTTATTGCGATATAACAGTCATTTCTCTGCAAACACATGTGTGCAAACTTCTTGACTGCCTCCTGTGCGATCTTTGCATCCATTCTTTGTTTCAACTTCTTACTATTTACTTACATCTAGTACTGGACAGTTTATGGTCTTCGCTTTAATTACTGTAGTAATTCTGGTCATGCATTTGTAGCTGAGACATCAAGGTACTTGGGCACCTGACTCTACATTGGATCTACTTGATGAATGGTGCTTGATTTAAGGTGACTACTTGGTGAGTGTCATTTAAGTTTGAGCATCCAACTTTGTCTACCACATGATTGATTGGTCAGACAAACAGTGATCAGGCTAGGCTGAGCATCAGCTTGGTTCAGATGCTGATGAGATTGCCACTGGATGGAAGGGAAACTTGACAAGTGTAATGCATTAATAATGATGGTCAATTTAATGCATTTATTTCAAAGGGGCACATTTGATGTTGCCACTGAAGCAAAGTGACTTCGGGGTAACTTCACTTCACTTTGAAAATGTGAGAATTTGGTTGGCTTCATTGTTCCGAAGTCAGTTAAAGTGCCACTTCATCCACTTCAAGAGGTGAATCAAAGTTATCACATAGATTAATCATCATCACTGCACATCTGAGGACCTCTATGTGCCCCCTGTCTCTATCATATTTCAATCATAAGACATCACTGTACATACTATGCACATTCAATATAAGCTTTTTGTGCATAATCTTGAACATTCACCAAGTTGGCTCCACGAATGGAATCAAAATTCATGACCTTAAGACTAAAGTAGGCTCTCACAGATGCACATACATTAATCTTACTGTCTGTGTCTCAAAAGAAAATTCTCTATTCCCTGTGTACCATTCAACAGCAGGTTTTCTTCCTAGTAGCTGGTCACAGTTTTCTTTGCACTCAGCTGCACAGCCTACAAATAGTCATGGTTCATCAGTTTCACTATTAACAACACCACATGGTTCTTTTGAGACTTTGCAAAACCTCTCTCCACCCCTGCACACACCTAAAGTTGCCAGGGTGCAGTTTAGGACTGGTTTGAGGTATGACAGCCTGAACCTGAACATGAACCTGTTCATGATATTTCAAGGCCATCAAACACAAACATTAGCCAATGGTTTGGTCAAGAACCAGTCCTATATCATGTTGTTCAGGTGTGAACTGGTTTGAACTTTTTCTACTACCAAAATTGAAAAAAAATAGGTATTGGAGCTACTTCACACCCAACTGCACTTCATCAACAGCATTGTCAAGCCAACATTGTCTCTTTGCAGCTTCCTTGGCTTCCATCTCAGCTTTGTGATGTCTCCGCTCCTTCTCATACTTATTCTTTACAATTTGAATGTCACCAAAGTTTGCTGGAAGTAAATATGCATGGCATTTGGTATCTGTCAGCCCAGCATCCTAAAATGCATGCTCACAAGGCACAGAGGAGCCTTGGATAGGGAGGTAGTCAAGGGCCATATGGCTTAGAATTGGGTATTACATGACATTGGCCTTCCACCACTCAAAGATATGCTCTGCCTGGTGCTCTGGAGATGCCCATTGGTCATTGATGACAAGTGGCTCCTTGATGTAAGATTTGAGTTCTGCATGAGAATCTTTAGTGATGAGCTTTTTGTGGGCACACCAACCTTCAGTAACCTGGCTCATCAAACTGCCAAAACCATTGCTCAACCCAGAGCTACCGGTGTAGAAACAACAACACAGTGAAGCACGAACAAGACTCCTGGCTGTATCTGTAAATGTCGAAAGGTTGCACATTGCCTAGTCTGCTATACTTGAGAAGACAAGTGCATTTGACCCTAAAGGGGAAGCAAGTGCAGCAAGGATCTAGTGATATGCGCTGAAGGCGCTACTGATCGGCCAATGCGAAGCACAAGAAAGTGCAGGTGCACGCAAGGCACAAAGGCGCGGGAATGCACGCGCATGATGCATGAAGCGTGGGAAAGTGCGCGCAGGTATGCAGAAATGAGAGAGACTAAGCTTAAGTGATGATATAATGTAAGACAAGAGATGAGAGTGCAAAGTGTCAAGGAATAGATTTCTACTGCGACTTTCTAGGTAGTAAGTAGTAGGTAAAGTGAGAGGTGCCGTAAGGTAAGGTAATGCTGGCACTTAAATATGGTACCTAAGTGCTGTCATGCGGAGCCGAAGTGCTACCGAAGTGCTACCGAGTAAGGTACTAGAGAGCTTGATGGACAGTGGATGGATGCTCCCAGATGGCTGGCGCTATAGGGCAATCAAGCGCAGGAAAGCGCGCGCGCATATACATCGTGAAGCGTGGGAAGTGTGCATGCATGGCGTGCATTGCGCAGGAAAGCTGCACCTCATATAGAGATAGCTGCGGGTAGTACACAGAGTGACACTACAAGTTCATGCTATGTACTCCCTAGTGAAAACTGCCATATCAGGCCATAAGAGGCATGAGTCTCTACACTGGGCTCCGTTGTTGGTATATGATCATTGCTAGTAGTAGTGATTTCCATGCAGTGTTTCTGGCAGTACTTATTGAACTAAAAATTGTGATTAGATCTGATGTCAAATGTGAATTTTTCACAGAAGTCAACACATACCACTTTTCCACAACAGCGAGGGCTTGTCATTGGCCATCTTTGGTCCATGCAACATTAAGATATGTCCTTGATGCAGGGATTGTGTTAAGACCATGCACAAAGGGTAGGACTGATTCTGAGAGGCTTGGCTTCAGTTCGTGCGCTGCACCTCTTACCTGAGTATGTGCCCTTAATTTCAGATTGATGTCCAGAGAAAGTCCAAGGATGTCCGAAGGTGCGGGAAACTTCGGAAGGACTTTCCAGATGGGTGCAAGTAACTTCTGGATGAGTGCGGGAAAGTTCCGGAGGAACTTCCGGAAATTACAATGAGGTTTCGTCCTGATATGGATATGTATGATGGCTACTCGGGACTTGTCCTGAGTAGAAGCAAACAGAGGAAAGGCTGCAAGGACAAAGTCCAAAGCAGAATAGGTCTGGAGGACTGCGGCAAAGATCTGGATGGACTTCTGGAAACTTCGGAGGATCAGAACTCTGGCCTAGGGAATTCCTCCCTAGGCCTGAGATAGATATTGACTAAGTCGAAGGACTAGAACTGATATGAGGACTTAGAGTGAAGACTAGTGCGAGGACTAATATGATATTCAGACCGAGGAACTACAGGACATATACAAGAGTTCATATACTAAGTGACTATCGGAAAGATCAATAAGCAAAGGTCCGAGGCTATGTATGAAGCATAAGCAAAGTTATCAAACACGAGTCGGAAATGAAGCATAGGTTAATGGATCAGTAAGCATACTGGTAGTAAGTATAACCGAGGCACCAGGAACAAGGAATACTGGATAGGCTGTGTTAACATTGTGTCATATCCCATATATTCACGCTTCTCTTCCGGACTTTGGACCCTGAGATCCGATCCGGTCCGATGTATAGATCCACTTCCGATCTGATTTACGATAAGCTTTCTAATTCATTTCCTGTTCATATAACGTTAAACACAGCCTATTCGGTATTTCCTCTTCCCGGTGTTTCAGTTATACTTATTACCGGTATGCTTACTGATCCGTTAACCTATGTCTCATTTCCAACTCGCGTTTGATAACCTTTGCACATGCTTCGTACATAGCCTCAGACCTTTGCTTACTGATACTTCCGTTATCCTCATAGTATATAAACTTGTGTATATGTCCTGTAGTACCTCAGTTCGAATATCATCTTAGTTTGTCCTCTTTCTGTCCTCCGGACTTGAGTCCTTCTTACTCTTGTCACCCTCTGAGACTTTGGATACATTCCGATAGTCTATATACTCGGCTCTACCTTCGGGTAGTCTTTACTCTGTTAGTTTCTAGTTCGGATACGTCTGGATTAGCCTTATACACATGTTTCCGATATCCGGAAGACATCCGGATATACTACGAGACCCGTCCAGACCTTCGGACGCGTTATCGTTAGTACTTTGAAATAAGGGACAGTACTTGGGAAAGGGGCACAGCGTATGAGCTGAGGCCGAAGTCCTTCGGATCCGACCCTACGAGAGTACGACCTTAACACATTGTATGCACAGGAAATGAATTAAGCTTATCATATATTGGATCAGAAGCATATCTATACGTCGGATCAGATCAGATTGGAGGTCTGGACGAGAAGCATGGATATACAGGATATGACATTAGGATGATGGGATAAAGGATGAATGATGCAGGCTAGCTGTGGAGGTTTGGAGGTCTGATGTACGGAGGTAAAGGGATCTGGATGAGGTCTGATGTACGGAGGTAAAGGGATCTGGATGTGGATGTGCAGATGTGGATGTGCAGAAGTGCAGGGATCTGGATGGATAGAGGACTGGAGACATGGATAGGGCATCTGAAGGTCTGGATGAGGCATGGGAACATTGTCAGATGTAGGTCTGGAATATGGGATATGATTACGAGTCCGATGCCAAAGCATCGGCCGATGTTTTTGGGTTTCGTTGGGTTTAGTGGGTTTGCGTTGGGTTAGGAAGGAATTAGGGTATAGTGAGTGGTATGCGGATTATTGATAACGGTGGGTGTTTCAGATAGAAAGAGTGGTAATATTCGCAATGTCATCTAAGAACTATGGAACATTGGGTTTGACCACAAAGCATCGGGAAACGGCTCCCTACTACTTGGATGATAATTGTGCTATGTGGAAACCAATATATATATAAGTATGTAGAAATCCAGAACCCTATAGGTGAAAGTAGCGGCCAAAGAATTTTGGGTCCGATGTACATGTAAATAAACATGAGGCACTGTGGACTGTAGGAAAACATGTAATAGTGCTGGCTATGACGTGAGTAATGTGCAAAATAATCAACTACGCACCTAGTGGGGCTAGCAGACAAAACAGGACACAGATAGGACAAGTGCATGGGAAAACATCGGGTCTGATGCGGCCGATGTGTCGGGTCTGCTGGTCAAAGCGTTGGGTTCGGCGGATATGTGTCGGGTTGCATCAGGAAGTGAATATAGTGCAACGGACATTTGACGTGATGTGTGAAATGGCTGAATACGAGCCCAGCGCCAGCTCAAGTGTTACATCATCTATCGATATTGTCATCATCAATATCACCTTCTCACTATCACATCATATTTTCCTATCATGTCCTTACCCTGTGTGAAACTGTTTGAAACATGCTGATCATGCCATGCGGTTCACAGCATGCAAGATCTGGGTGCATCTAATACATAAGTATCTGTGTTTGCGATTACAGATTGTTATCATTATTGATTTGGCTGCACCATGAGGTTTATGGAACCATGCAACTTATTGAATAAGTCTGACTGTTAAGCACCAGGATCAAGGGTGCATCTTATTGTACATTTTCCACCCACCTCATCATGCCCCCAAAGGTGGGTTCAAGTTGCAGTGCAAAGAACACAACTAGTGTGAAACACACAAAGGCCACAAAAAAACGACCCACACGCAAGAATGCTAAAGTACGTCTTATTGAATGTGTACATACAACTAATTTAGATATTGTTAGGCAATTAAAAAACCAGGCAAAAACACGGGTTTGAACTTGCCCTTAAACTCAGACACAAGCCAGGTCAGTGTCCATGCTGAGCAACCCCAGCCTCCAGTGTCCTACAAGCATTTTGTCTCGTTGATCAACTCAGAAGGCATGGACAAAGATTTCCAGGATAATGAGATAGAGGAGGATGAGATGGAGGAAGGTGATATAGGGGATAATGAGATGGAGGATGACAATGAAGGTTTTGGGCAGCTAGGCCCACCATGGGGCTATGCTTAGCCATTGCAGGGCTACACTCAGCCATCACAGGACTATCCTCAGCCATCACAGGGTTATGCTCAGTCATTGCAGGGTTACTACTAGTTTCATCAGCTCCCACAGCCAGCCTCATATTCCGCCCACACCTACAGGCTCCCACAAGCCTCACCTTCATTCATAAGGTAGACGACATTTAGATTCAACCACTGCGCTCATGTGATCATGTGACCATTCCCACAGCCAAATCTCAAAGCTCGAAAATTCAAAACCACTATTTGCTATGAAAATCACTTTGGCAACATCAAAAAAAATGATTTTTTCAATCAAATTAACTTTTTTTCACTCTGATAATACAACCACACTTGTAAATAACCATGCAGCAAATAGTACTTAGAGTATGATTACAACTGATTACCGGCAAGTAATGCTAGCTTGGGGCCAGGTGTTATGTAAGCTACCATATATGGTTATATTAAATCACGTGATGTGGCTAAATCCACAGAGTAAATATTTTATTTTCTGCCTATAGTGTCGGAAATGTATTTGGGAAACAAATAAAACAAATACAAAAAAGCAGAAATAAGTCTCTCAAATCTTGGTTTTAGGTCTTAGGAACAGATTAGTGCAAAAAGAATGTCCGGAAAGTGGATGAGGAAAGTGCAATAAGTTGTGCAAAATGATGTCTCAAAATGTGGTTGGATTTGGATGTCTTCTACCTTACCACTACAACTTGCATCTTGTGAGGCTCAGTGATTCAATATGCCTACACCAATGACATTTAGGAACATCATGCCTATGCATGCAAGGCACAGGAAAGAAGAACAAGCTTGTTATGCAGGATGGTTGCCTATTAACCTTCCCAGAATTCATAAGAAATTTGTATACGACCCTTGCTGACCATCCAAAGAGCATCGTGGACACCTGTGTCCAATTGGTGTTATCAGAGTATGTCACTCACCTGCCTCATGATTGTGACTGACACTATTCTACAGGCTACAGGTGATATTATGATTACTGCATCGCTCCTGTCTCAGAGAGACTTGCCCCCAGTGTCCACCCCTTCCTCACCCATTACCAGCCCATCTGTGGCTGGTGCCAACTCTCCAGCCAACAATTCTGCATACTCCCATTCTTATGCTAGGCAATGATCTACTGATAAAATGTTTAAGAGGATGATGGAAGCAGTGAAGTTGAATATGTGCTGCCAAGTACTACTACAGAACACTATGCCTGAAGGAGGTGTCAACACAGCAATAGCAAAGGCAGCACTTTCAGCAGTAAGCAGGGAGTTCCTAACTATGACATGTGTCTCAAGATGCTCCACACCTCACAATGACTATATGGACAGCCTTTAGGTGCTGTCTGGACAGCGAACCCTGGTTTGAAAATCTGAGCTCAAAACAACACGTGATGATGGCACGTAATATATTTTATCGATAAGAGATATCAATAGCAATCTGACACGTAAAATAGGAATATATAACATACATATGTTTGAACTGCGCATAATCATTGCACCCACATGGACCTCGAAGCCCAAACAGCAAACAATCTACATCGACGACGCCAAATTACGATGGTCATCATCACCATTACAGTCGCTCAGATTTCATACCTTTATAACCTCTTATTTTTATCACGCACAGAAAAGGTCCCATATCATACCTCAATTCTTACAGGAAAAGCCTGGGTGTACGAACTCATCAGTGGTCACCCAGACTGAATCAAGCTAAATCTCGGCATCGACTTTCAAACCTTTGAGGAGCTCTTACAAGTTCTGTGGCGACATGGATATGCTCAGTCGTGCAATGGTGTCACTATCGAAGAGCAGCTAGGTATTTTCCTGTATACATGTATTACAGGACTGTCGTCTCGCCATGTTGGTGAGCGATTTCAGCATTCTCCAGACATGATTACCAGGTAAGTATGTCAATAATTCAAGATGAACCATGTGCTGATGATTTTCACAGATATTTCAAACACATGCTCATTTTTTTCTCGTCCCCTCCCTTCTACACTACAAATGTCCGGCTCCCAACTGAAAACACTCCCATTTCTGCAGCAATCTGTGACGACCCACACTTCAGATTCTTCGATCAATGCATTGGTGCCATCGACGGCACCCACATTCGGGTCTTTGCACCGCTTGAACATCACACTGTCCTGTGCAACCGAAAGGGATTTTTATCCCAAAATTGTCTATTCATATGCAACTTTGACTTCTACTTCACATACTCACTCACAGGCTGGGATGGCTTGGCTGCCGATGCTAGTCTATGGAATGATGCACGGTCTCATGATTTGCGCATGCCTGCACACAAATATCTTCTCGCTGATGCAGGCTTTGGTACATGTGATGCGCTTCTCGTACCTTATTGAGGTGTACACTATCATTTGAAGGAATGGCGTCAAGCAAACCTTATGTGAGTTCATTCATTCTAGTTTTTTTATTTTTATTGAATTATTTTCTACTAGGCCACAAGATCCCAAAGAATTGTTCAATCTTTGACACGCAGCACTTCGCAATATTGTCAAACAGATCTTTGGTGTGTTGAAGCGCCAGTGGCGCATTTTGATGATCCCACCAGAATATAGCATGCACATTCAGGCCCGCATCCCCGCAGTGCTGTGCGCTATTCACAACTTCATATGCAGGTACAACCCTGACCTGTTTGACATCGCCCTCAAACATGAGTATGATCTTGCAGAGGATGACGCTGTAGGACATGGGGCGCTCTCTGAAGGACTGGCAGATCCTGCTGAGAGGAGATGAGTGGATGCTCGTCGGGAGGCAATTGCAGCGGCAATGTGGGCCGACTATATCGAGGAACGTGAGCGAAGGGGGCTCCCATTGCCTTAGTAGTACTATACTAGTAGGGATCATACAATCTATGTACAATATATGCAAGACATTCAGACAAACCGAGCGCAAGACATAGAATAGATTGAAAGACAAACCAAGCAGAAGACGTCTGAGACAAATCGAGCGCAGGATGTAGAACATATTGGGACAAAACGAGCACAAGACGACACTTGATATTTGAGACAATTGTTGAAACAAAATGAGATATAGTATAGTACACTATCAGACTATCATATGCTCCTGTGAGTCAGCTGATGCCTGGTGTAGGTGCACCACCACAAAGCACTCGCTTCTCCTCCAACCACTCAAGCCTTGTTGCCTCATCCAATGAGTAGAAAATGATGGCCTGGTTCTCGTGTTCGGCTAGGAAGTTGGCAATGGAGAGGCGCTCTTTGCTGGTAAGGTTTGTGTACTTGTTGAGCAGGGCGATGGCGCTCCCAATGTGCGTTCCAGGCTGCACTAGCTGTGGCATTGGGAGTGGTGGAGGAGCTAGTGTGAAATTCTTCTGCATCTCATGCACTACTTCTACAAGATTCTTCATCGTCTCAGTACCCTCCTGTTGTGCCATTAACGTGGCAGATGGTGGCTGACTTCGCTTCTGGGAGCTTGTGGCTGAGCCAGGAGCAAGTGTGCTGTACTTACATTTGCTACGGCTGATGCTCGTCCATGCTGAGTCTGTGGTGGAACCCTCAGTAGAGGGTGCGAGATAGGTGGATGGAACAGGTGGCACAATGGAATCTGGATTGATTGATAATGGTGGCCCTGCTGGTGGAGGTGCTGCACTTGGTGCTGCACTCTCTGTTGCTGGGGGAACTGAAGTTGAGACAGCAGTTGTGGTGGGCCAGAAAACATGTGCGCCCTTCAACTGGTTTGGCATTAACTGCTCCATGATCTCAAAATGATCAAAGCCCTTTGACATAAAGGGCTTTGCATGAGGATGTGACTGAAGATAATGTCATTAGAGAGCATGCAATCTATTGCCGTACTTACCTTGGTAAAATGCGCCCAGACATCATCCTTTCGATTGGCAATACCTGCTCCATGCTCATCACTCCAGGTGAAGCCTGAAGTGCACTTGATCTCAATCACACTGTGATATGCTTTCTTGAACTACAAAGATATATATATGATGTCATTGGCGGTGGCAGAAAAGTTCACTAGACATACCGCTGTCCATTTATTCTTACAAACTACACCTGGTCTTTTCGGCACCTCTCTGCTGCATGAATTTTTCCTTGAGGTGGGTAGCTGCCTGATTGAAAGTGGTCATCTTGAAGCCCCCATCGCCTGAGGAAGGAAGGGCCTTCAAGAGGAACTCAAGAAAAGCGGTCTCCTCTGCCTTTGACCACACTGCAGGCGCTGTAGAGACTCGTGCATCTCATAGTGTGATATGGCGCTTTACACTAGGGAGTATACAGCACCAACTTGCAGCATCACTCTGTGTACCATCCACAGTGATTCCTATATGACGCGCAGCTTTCCCGCGCAACGCGCGCCATGCGCGCACCATTCCCGCGCTTCACGATGTATATGTGTGCGCGCGTTCCCGCGCTTGCGCGCCCTATAGCGCCAGCCATCCAGATGCATCCATCCACTGTCCACCAAGCTCCCTAGTGCGTATATTTCCATTTCCTTTATTAGCATAGTTCCACCTTTATTTTTATCATAGTTTCTCACTCATATATATTTTTACATACCTACTCGGTAGCGCTTCGGCTCCGCATGAGCGCGCTTAGGCGCGCTATATAAGCACCAGCAGTACATACTATTACTTACTTACCTTTCACACCTTACTTTTCACCCAACTTTACCTAGTACTTACTACTTAGAAAGTCGCAGTAGAAATCTATTCATTAGCACAACACATCTCACATCCTTTATCTTGCTTATATCTTCACATAAGTTTAGTCTCTCTTATTTCCGCTTACATGCGCGCGCTTTCCCGCGCTTCGCGCTAATACGCGCGCGCGTTCCCGCGCCTTCGTACCTTGCGCGCACCTGCGCTTTCTCGCGCTTCGCTGAAGTGCGTACCTCTAGATCTCCGCTGCACCTGCTTCCCCTTTAGGGTCGAATGCACTTGCCATCTCAAGTATCGCAGACTAGGCAACGCACGACCTACAACTTTTTAGATACAGTCAGGAGCATTTCTTTGTTCCTC